CGCTCGCTGTACCTGCCTCAGCTGCAACGAGCATCAACACCACCAAGAACCATATTCACCAAGAAATGAACCGTCGATCAAATCCATATCTATCCATTCAGGTGCCACCAGATACCGAAACAAGGAGCAAAAGACGTCAAGAAACGAGAAGAAACAAATGGGGAAAAGAAAAACACCGTTCTGAACCCACCCATCCACCCATGTTTAATGGCGCCGAGACAAAGAAGACTTTTACCAAACAGATAAAAAACAGAATAAGGGGGGTGACAGGAAACCAGACATTTAAAACCGTGGACACACAGCCGCATGCTCTCAACTACTTGCAATTTCTATGCTTCCGTAGCTGCTACCTGCAAGTGGGATATAATTCAGCAGAATCAAGTGCGATGCCCTGCGGTGCGTTGTGCCGACGCGGTCCTCCGGATCGTGTTGTGGCAGTCGGGGAGAGGGTAAAAGGGGGTAGTTTGGTTCCAGTGCCGGCATATACCATGTGGCATCAACAAAGATTTCCACCTCCGGTTAATGTAAATAGGGGGATTGGGTATAGCAGGGAGTTCGCCCTAGCGCCATGGCTTGGCTCATTCAACAAAGCTCATGAATCGGCTCAGAGGCCGTGCGCAGTCCGCGGATCGGCTTTATCGCGTCTCGAGCCTTTTCTTTGGCTCCTCGTGGCTTGAGCCACCTTCTCTACTTGCTGAAGTACCCAAGGATGGTCTGCTGTGCTTCGGGGGAGAATTGGGCGAGCAGTTGCGTTGGATCCATGTTGCTAGCCGTGATGAGAGCCTTGGCCGTGGCTACCACCCGGTTGGCCGTCTGACCGCTCAGCGTCTCTGACTCAAGGCCCTGAGCAATGAAGACAAAGACCTTGTCCGGCTGGCTGATCACAGCGGGATGTTGCCTGTGTTTTGGGAAGGGCATGGTTAGCGACGGCGCACTCGGGTCAAAACTAGGTGGTCTAGCGTCCCTCGCCAGACGACCGACACACTGAAAAAGGGATACTTACTTCTCGATGAGCTCGGCCAGATACGCGTACACGTACGGCGCCGCTTCTTCGTCGTTGGTAACGGGCAGCGTCTTCAGCCACTCGACGACGACCGTGTCTGCGTTCTGAACGGTTGAGGAGTTGAAGTGCAGGATCTTTGCGATAGCCGCGCATGCGTTCTCCGTTGCGTACACGTTCTCCTCGCTCCTGGCATCCGGGACCTGCGCCGCCTGGAACAGATAGGGCAGGGCACCGCCCAAGAACTGTGCCCACGCCTCACCGCCCTTCTGCGCCGCCACACCGATTCCGTAGGCCGCAGCTTGCCTGATCGCCGCGTTCGGGTCTTGGCAACCATCCACCAGGGGCTTCTGGATGTAATTTGCGTAGTGGATGCTGTCGGTGCCGCAGTACTCTAGCACATCGTCCATGATGCAAAGACCCCACTGTCTCTGCGTCGTCTCAGGAGACTTGAGGAAGGCCTCGTAAGTCGGCATCAAGCGCTCCCATGGCTGCAGGAACTCGGACATGTGGTACTTGAACACCACATGGAAAGCCTTGTTCATGTCCGACAGGAGTGTCTGGTCATCCTCGATGGCCATGAGCACCTCGTCGGCCTCATCCTCCACATCGTCCGCGGTGGCGCCCTCGTTGTCCTCGGCACGTTGCGTCACGCGGTCCTTGTAGTCCTCTAGAGTCGAGTTGACCGAATCCATAAACTTGTTCATCTGTGCCTGGTCCATGCAGCGCGAGCCCACGACCTCGACCGACTCGTAGAAGCACTGGTACATTTCGGCGAGCGTGTCGATGGCCGGCTCCGCGGCCAGGACCTCGAGGAGCTTGTCGACAATGCTCACCCATAGACCCCTAAGCTCGTTCGATGTGGGCCCATAGGCGGCCTTGTACGAGCCGAGGAGTTGCGGCACAAGCTTCGCTGAGATGAACCGCACAGGGTCGTGGAAAAAGAAGGCCAGGCCGGGTATCGCAATCTTCTCCATGATCTCGGCGACGTAGGGCGCGAAGCCCCCGCCCAGAACCTGAGCGTATACGACGAGAAGCTCAATAGCCATGTGTTTGTCGTCCATGGTGCTCGTGCGGATGCCAATCATCTTTCCCTTGAGGGGGACAAGTTCCCATCCATCCTCATTGGCTATTTGGTCAACCTGATCATCATCATCAAGCAGTTGGATGTCGGCCTTGGCGGTTGCCAGCTCCAGCAGGGGCGGCATGACGTTGTGCAGGAACGGAAGGAACTCCTGGCCGAGCACACGACACATCCGGCCCCAGCAGTGCATCAGGTACTGCGCCTGAGGATCGTCGGCGTCGGTGATGTTGGACTGAACGTTGGCGAGGAGCTGCACCAGTGTCAGTGCATCGGCACCCAGCTGCTCCCGGCCGACGGCGAGAGCGATGAGAGTCGCACACTCCATCGCCTTGGCACGCAGGAGGCGGAACTCTTTCTCGCTCTCGCGCTGCAGCACATCAACAAGCAGCGGCATGAGCGTGTTGTAGTACTTTGAAAATGCCTGCTCGGCGGCATCCGCGATGGTAGCGATGGTGGAGAGAGCCTGCTCCTGGACATAGCGTTTCTCGTTCTGCAGGAGCTGGAATAGGTGCGAGAGGAGGTCGTCCAGATAGGGCTCCAAAATGCTCTTCTCGGCCTCCTCGCAAAAGTTGACAAGTGCTGCGGCGGCATGCGACTTGACGCGAGGCTCGGGAGAGTTGAGGACCGGGATGATGGCCTTGAGAACGGCCTCGTGGTGCTCTTTCTGCATCGTCGGCGCAAAGTCGGTGCTCATCTGACCGAGCGCGTTGCATCCGGCCCACCGGACGCGAGGGTGCGCATCCTTGAGCGCAGGTACGACAAGCTCGAGGACCTGGTTCAGCTCGCCAATCATGAGGTCTCGGCAACCCTCTGAGATGGCCGAGATGGCCATCAGAGCAGCATGGCGGTCCCTCCAGACGGGCGACGACATCATGCGGGGCAGCCAGTTGAAGGTTGGTGCGAGGATGGTCTGGCCGCCAAGCTTGTTGGCGAGCCTGTCCATGCACTGCTCGCCAGCCACGTGGTTGAGATCGGAGTCGTCTTGGTCGAGCTAGCGGGAAACGGGGAAGAGGCCTGTTAGAACAGTTGCTGCCCAACGGGCTTCGACGGAGGGAGAAGCGGGGAGGCGGGTGGCCAGCGGCCAGGGTACAATGATGAGCATACCTCCTCCATAGCGAGCCACTCGGCAGCGTCATCGTCGTCCTCGCCCAAATCAGTCATCAGGCTCAGGCACTGGGTAATCATGTCGTTTGTGTAGGATGGGTCCTTTTTGCACATGGACGGGGCGTAATCGGCAAAGGTGGCCATAAGCTCCAGAGCGTTTTGTCGGCAAACATCGGTCAGCTCCTTGTCCTGGATGACCGAGATGCTGAACTGAACAAGGTGGTTGAACTGGTTCCGGAACATTTTTGGCGAAATCTCGGCCAGGTCTATCAGAGCCAGCAGCGCCTTCCCAAGGTCGTCTGAATCGTGCGACTCCTTGATGGGAGGGAGAATGTTGAGTACTTCTGGTAGTAGTCCGAAGTACTTGTTTTGGTTCTTCTTGGACATGCTCCGGAAGAAGGCGGCGAACGCCTCCATGGCTGCCAATCGAACCTGTGTTGTTGGGCGAGCTTGTTAGAGCGGTACAAGCCCCAGCCATGTCGGCACACGCCTACTTACAGAAATAGAGTCATCCTTGAAGGCCCTCGAGAAAGCCTGGGCAACGGGCTCTTCGTGTTGCTTTTCGATGATGCCTGGGGTGGTAGCAAAGACGCGGTAGGCGATTTCCCTTTTTCCAGCGTCGGGAGCCACGCTCATCTGGAAAAGGACTCCCAGGAGGTCCGGCCAGGACTCGCCTGTGTGGGTGAATGGTTCGTTCGGCCTTGTTAGTGCGTGTATAAAGAGAGCAGAGAAAATCGTGGGAGCCGCATCGAAGTGGTGTGGAACGCACTGTTGTCTGTACATTGCCTCGCGACCTCGGCAACAGCATCGCTGATCTTGTTGCGAACTCCCCGGTCCGCCTCGGCGGCGAGGGTCTCCAGAAGCTTCTGGCGAATAACAATGGCCTGGTCCTTGACCAGAGAGATGTAGGTGTCCTGGGTCTCTCCCTTGTCGTTCTTACGGGTCTTCCCGGCGATTCGACGAAAGATGACGGCGGCGAAGGAGCGAATCTGGACCTGGGCGTCAGCTTGGGGAAGGGCAGGAGTCGCAACAGAGGCGAGAGGGCGCGCGGCGCACGGGAAGGGAGCAACTCACCGTGGTTTCAGGGTTTGTGCCGATTTGCTCGACGAGGCCCATCAGCAGGACCTCGGGCCTTGTGACAGTCCAGTTGTTCTGGAGGTGGTCCTCGGCCTGGGAACGAACGGCATTGTCGGCAGACTGCAGTGCTTGCAGAAGCTGCGTGAGCTCGGCCGTGACCTCGGGCGGGAGGAGCGACATAGTGCGCCACGGGGTGCGCGCTTAGGTGGACAAGTCGATGCAAAGAAGCCTGCGCAACAGTTGGAGTGTGATGGATTCGTCGAAAGGACGCTGCCGGGCACTGTCAGGACGGTCAGTGTTGGAAAAAGATTATGGCGGTCGAGTTTCGAGAACAGACAGAGACCAACAGGCCAGGAACACGATCGGAAGGGCGACTTTCAACCCAAGGTGGGGGGGAGGGGATGATGGGCCGCGGCCAAAACAAAAATCACGACACCACACAGCGCGCCGCAAACGCGCAAGCCCATTCAACTTGGAAATCGAGCAGGGAGAGTAGGGCAAAGGGAGAACAAAAGAAAAGTCTCACCAGCAAAATAAATCGGGTTGCCTAAGACGTGCGCGCCGCCTGCATCCCGTGGTTATTGGGCGTTCAGGGAAAAAAAAAACGGCGGGGTTTTGACAGGAGGGAGAGTGAGGCCCAAAAAAAATAGCCGACTTCCAGGGATGTTTTTTTTTCTTTTTTGGCTCCCTTCCATGGCTCTCATCGAGTTAACCTATCGAAAGTGGGACCCCACACCGCACCGAGCACGAAATGAGGACTTTGGTGGGGCATCCCTCTTATCGAGGACCTTATCGAGGCCCCTCACGTTCCTTCCTTTCACGGGAAGTGGAAGATTTTGAGGCATGAAATTTGGTGTTTGCTTCGATGCATTTCCTGTCTGCCAGTGATGAAACATTGCAGTGTGTCTACACGGGTTTATGCCGTTGCAGCTGCCGCGTTGAAATGCGTGATCCCTGTGCATGCTGTGCTAGTTTAGTCGGCCAACGACGCAACCGCCTGCCGCCTGACCTCAGAGACAGAGACCAGGCACGTCAGGGAGACGCCACCTGGGCCGTGCCAGCTTGCCCCTGGGCTTTGGTTGAGCCTTGCATTTTGGGAACGGCGAAAGTGAATGGCATTGTCCGAATCATTGATAGCAACGATGACTTTGACCGAGGATTCGATGAGAGAGTGCCAAATCGAATAGCACCGCAGTTCCTGGCCCCTCCCCCACCCGACCAATTGATCGGCCTGTGACAGCTCGAAGCGGGGATTTCTCCAGTACCCGACGCAGCTAACCTTGTCCGCCCACTCCACCCCACCCAAGAAGCAGCAGCATCACAGCCATCGCCAGCTGCAGCCCCTCAACTCTCGGACGACCTCAACCTCGTCAGGTGCGGGCGCATTCTAGAAACCAATCGACCTCAACACACGACCGCCTGCTCGGGCTACACCACGGAGAGCCAGGAGACTGCCCAATCTCGGCCACCAGATGAACGATATTGCTAGTACGCACAGCACCTCGATTAGAGCACGGCAGCCAACAAACACCAGTATCCCACGACCAAGACGCTCGCACTAGGCCTTGTAAGTTGTGTTGCGACCGAAGCGACAAACACATCATTCGGCACCACTACATTCAGCTCCAGCGGTTTCATTCCAAGACACCTTTGGCTGCCGCCCGGCAACAGTCTCATCGCCATGGACAAGTCGGACGACTCATCTGCAACTGCGCCGCCGCTGACGAGCATGGCCAGCAACTCCTCTGGCGCCGTCGACCTGCAACGCCCCAGCTCGCGGCAGAGCATCGGTAGCGGCGCCCACAAGCCTTCGCAGGTCCAGCCTCCGCACGTCGCCGCTCATCGTCAGAGCTTCGTCGAGAACCTCCGGAATCCCCCGCCCTCGCCACGCTCGCATCGCCACCTTTCCTTCACCCAGTCGGCCCTGCAGGAGCTGTTGAGCCATCCGCCTTCATCACAAGCTCCGAACCCGCAGTTTGCTGGCAGAGACTGGCGCGATGTCGCTGTTGGAGAGCTCGTCTCGCAAGATGAAGTTAAATGGGTCGATATGGACACCAGTGTCGAGGAGGCAACAATGGTACGATTCTATGTTGGCGTGAAGGCGAAGAAGATGCGAGACTGGAAGCAACTAACACGGCTCAACGGCCTAGGTTCTCCTAAAAAGCGCACCATCAAATGTCGTGCTGGTCAAGGAAACGGCAACCGACAAGACAGCCATCTCGACATTTGATTTCAACGACCTGAACGCCTACTTACTAGTAGTGGTGGGCCTTGCCCAGCCCGAGGAGGACCAGGTGGCGCTGTACCACGAGATCGCCACCAAGGCCCGGGAGCGGGTCGCCATCCCGCTACGTGACATCCAGCCCATCTGCCGCAAGGAGATGCTGGTGACTTTTGATGGAGAGGAGCCCCTTTCCAGAGGCATCGAGGTTCTTGGGAGCGGCATCCATCGGATTCTAGTCACCAGCAGCAACTCGGATCTGGTTGGCATCCTCAGCCAGCTCAAGGTGCTGGAGTTCTTCTGGAACGAGGCCGTCAGCTTCCCCGTCATCGACCGGCTCTACCCGGCCCCTCTGCGCGAGCTCAGTCTGGGCACACATCAGATAATTGCCATCAAGTAAGGAATCAAGGGACCGCGCTCCTTAGGATTTCGGGACCTACCTGCTAACCTTCTCCCCAGCGCCGACCGGCCCCTTGCGGACGCCCTGACGCTGATGAACAACGAGGGGTTGACATCGGTTGCAGTAGTGGACAACGGCCTTAATGTGGTTGGTAACATAAGCACCGCCGACGTTCGTCACCTCACCTCGGCCGCTAGCATGCCGCTTCTCGAGTCGACGTGCATGAACTTCATCAGCGTCATCCTTTCGGAGCGCGGCGTCGAGAAGGGCCGCGATTCTTTCCCCGTGTTCTACGTGAACCCCTACTCGACCCTCGCCCACACAGTTGCAAAGTTGACGGCGACGCAATCGCACCGTATGTGGGTCGTCGAGGGCGCTTCGCCCTCACCGAGCGTCCCCGGCACGCCTCTGCTCCAGCCCGTGTCCTCGTCATCATCCGGTGCCGCGGCCGTGGCGGCACCGCCGGCGGGCACCGCGACCTCCATGGCCGGCGGTTCGCCCGCGACCGCCACCTCAACGGCTCCCGGCTCGACCGTGCTAGTCTCGGCCCCCGTGTCTGGGAACCCAACTCCGCAGACGCCCGTGCAGTCGGTGCCGGCGGCGGCGCTGCCCGGCTCCCACCTGTCGGGCCGTCTGACGGGCGTCGTCTCCCTGACGGACATACTCAACATGTTTGCCAAATCTTCGGGTCTCAATCCGTCGGACCCCAGCGAGCAGCGCTCCAGGCGCCGCCGCAGCTCCAGCGTGAGTGTGCGGCCAAGTCTAGAGTCTTCCAGGGCCAGCCAAGACTACATCAGAAGGTGAGGCTCGGAGGTCTGCTCGTTTTCCCCCCCTCGTTTCTATCTGTTCTTCTAGACGCGTCACATCGCACAACGCAAGTCTACCCCCATATGAGAAGGGGGACGTTTCACAGTTACGGATGGCTTTTGCGTGGGAGATTGAAGTGTGGGTTAGCCAAATCCTCCGAAAAGAGGGCAATGATTATGGAATCCCTGGTCCTCTGCCACGATGACGACGACGACATAGTTTCCCACTACGTTTAGCAAGCAAATGAGACTCGGAGCGAGGTACTCAGACACTAGTTTCTTGTCGCGGAAATGCACTTGCCAAGGGATTCCTGGCGCTCTTTGGTTAGCGTCCATACAAACTTGGCCAGAACCCGCACATACTAGTCGACAACGCACACTAAGGGGAATCAGATACTCGGTGTTTACTCGATGTATCCTTGATACCTGGGTAGTGCTCTCTACATCCATCCAAGTGCCGTTAACGCGCCGAACCTTTAAACGGGTAATTGAATTGCATGTGGCTACACCACTGTTTGTTGCTATAATCTTGGGGATATAGAATTAGAGTGCTTGATTGGCAAGTGCTTTTATGTACCTCATGTTCCTGCGCTTATTTTGTTCTTGGTTATCTTCTTCTTTCTGTTCCGGCTCTTATCCCGATTCCGATTCCTATTCCTGGCACGTTGACGGCACTCAAAGGGATAAGTAGGCGCCCAGGTACGTGCCGACCCGATGGAAGCAGTCAGACCCAGAGCGCTTTAAATCACGACATTATCAACTACACACACACACACACACACACATATGTGCATATAAAGGCGAGACACCAAAGAGCGGATAGCAGGATTTGCTTGAAGATTTGCGAGCCTGCTAACGAGGCGTTAAAGACAAAAACAGCACCCCCGTGGAATACATGGAAGCGCTCGTCCTCCACTCCTGATCCAATGCCCAGAACGCTCGAGCAAAAGGCACCTAATTCTCACAACGCCGGCAACGAGTATATACACAAGCGTCTGCTTACGACTCCTCAATCCTCAAAACAAACCGGCAAGTATGCGAAACAGAAAACACAAAGCAAATATAGACAGCAGTCATACATTAGGTGTTACAGGGGTTGTGTGCGACTATGCGGCTACGCGTGGGAGGCCATCACGCTCATGACATTGGTAGAGAAGAACGCAAGGAAAAGAAAGACAAGGGAAAGCTACAGAAGGGGGCCGGCGAGATTGCTTGCACACCCGTCAGGGCAGTTCACGGGTATTGTCGGCAGCCAGGGCGAAGGAGAACACCTAGTCGACCGTCCAGCGCTGGCTCCAGTCTCCGTCCAAGCCATCGTCGGGGTGCTTTCCGTCACCACCGTCATCGTCGTTGCTGGCACTCCAGGCAGCAGGCGAGGTCGACCTCAGGATCGCCGAGGCTTTGCGGCCCAAGGAGCCGCCAGACTCCCAGCCGCCCCGGGTGGCCGGACGGACAGATTCGGCGTATAAGAAACTGCTGTCCATATCTCCCCACTGGCCGGGCATGCCAGGAGAATCCGAGTCCGAGTAATCCCACTGCACGGGGATCTGCTCGCCACCCTCACCGATGCCAAAGACGAGGCCGCGCCACTCGCCGGCCGCGATGCGGGCCGCCACCTTGAGCATTAGGTTGACCAGGTTACCCGGGGGCGAGAGCAGGATCTCACACGTCCGGTTGAGGATGACGCTGGGGATACGGCGCACAGCTTCCATGCGCGTCTTTGCTCGCTCGGGGGTGTCGGTCATGGAGCGGTGGAACCGACTGGGGTTGAAGAGGTTCACACCAGGGGGCAGCGGAGAGAGCGCACGGTACTGGCCTACGGAAGACGAGATGCTGCTGCGCGAGGTGGCGCGTCGCCGAAGCCGCGGGCGCGTGCGCGGTGGGCTGTTGCTCCTGCTGCTCCCGGCGGAGCGGACTACCACAGAGGTTGTGCTGGTCGGGGTCGCGGGAGCCTGGCTGGCATCCTCAAAGGAAACAACCGAACAGCCGTCGCTGGACGGCGAAGCGCACGCTGCCAGCTGATCGTCAGCGGCAGCCCCATTGCGCGCGTCATCCTCGATAGCGCACTCATCGAGCCTGTCCACCAGAGCCGAGTCGGCACTCATCTGCTCTTGGCAGGAGGGTGGTTGTTGGGGCAGAGGGATGTTTTCGTGAGGGTAGGGAAAAGTCCGTGGGGAGTTGGGGTTAGACAATGGCGGCGAAGGAGGGAGGAGTCTGGTTGGGGAGTTCCAGCTCCGCATGCTGTGGAAAGAGTCGGAGGAATCAGTAGGAGAGGTAGTCTCGGACCCATCCTCCTCCTGCTCCTCCTCCTCTCCAGACAGCGACCGCGTCGACTGAGTCGCTGCGATGCTGCGAGGCGGGGACGACGTGAGCAGTGACAGTTGTGGGGGCGGCATGATGGAGCGGCCGGCGTGGAAACCGGGGTGCTGCTGCGATATAGCATCGGGGATCGGAGAGTCGACGTCCTTGACCGGATTCGGCTTGTTAGACGCTTCCGCCTCGATGCGCTGGCAACTCTTGGACACCTCCCCTTGGCTGGTCTTAGCAATGGTTGAGAGAGTCGGAGTCAGTGTTGGCGGGGTCAGGGTGGGCGTCAGAACGTCATCCGAGTTCCTGGAGTAGGTGGCCCTCCGTGTCCTTTCGCCCATCAAAGTGGCACGAGGTGTCAGGTCCTCGGGGGAGATCGGGGTCGGAGGTAGGTGGAGCGAGGTCCTCCGGGTCGGGGCCCATGGGCGCTTCTTGACTGGGGCTTGGGATGGCTCTGGGAGCTCGACGTGGAAGGCGCGCTGGAAGGGACACGGGGTCTTCTCGAACTGCAGGACCTTGTCGAAGACGTCGCGGAGAGCCTGTGCTTGCTCGGCGTCGCCAATGGGGATCTCTATCCTCCAGTACTGAGGACGGCGAATCTGCAGGACAAACTTGCTCGAGATCTCATCGATGCACCAGCACTGGCTCTTGGGCAGGATGGGCTGCAGGGCAGTTCCGCAGTTGAGGAAGGCGACGGAGCCAGGGGCACGGTAGATTCGGAAGGGGCCTGTTGCCATTGGCATAGCGCACGGTTAGCAAGCTTAGCAAGCACACCCGAGGGTCGACGGGCGCGATGGGCGGTTCTCACCAACGGCAATAGTTCGCTCGAGCTGTGAAGACCACGGCAGTGTTCCGGGTTCAATGTCGTCGACTGGCGTAACTAGCCCGCGACCCGAGGCGCCAACAGCGAACAGTGTGCGAGGCCCGGCCGAAAAGGCTATTATCTTGACCGACGGATGGCTGTAGAGAGTCTCGATGCCGCCCGAGGGCGTTGCTGCGGGCGCGGCCGGGCTCGGCGACTGCGAAAGGCTGGCGGACTGGAGGGGTAAAGGAGTGGTGACGACTCGTCGGGGAGTTGCCAAGGCCGAACCAGGAGGTCTTGCGTAGTCCATCGTGGGCGAGGTTGTGGTGCCAAAAAGAGCACTCGAAGGGAAAGATGGCGAAAGAAGGGCAAGAAACGAAGGGAATTCCAGATTCTGCCGTTCCGTGAGCAGGGCAAGATTCCCGGTCGGCGGCTGCGGGCTTAAAAGGGAGTCGGCCAAGGGTTCATGGCGGCTGTAGCGGTCGAATCGCGATGGGTCGGTTGGCGTCGCAGAAAGGGTGGGATCAGATCATGGGCCATCGGCTGTAACGCAAAATCATCAGAGGACAAGCTGAGGCCAGGCCCGGCAGTGGTTCCCGTGGGATCCAGCGCGTCAATGGGGCGAGACGTCAAACGGCCAGACGAGGGCTTGATGGCTGCCAGGTTGGTGAGCTGGGTTGCATGTCGATTGGGATTGGAATTGACGACGTCTTGAATGCCCTTTGGTTGACTTCTCCCTCCTCCTTGGTGCGCGTAGCCGCACTCGTGCTCAGGGGAGGGAGCTGGGGCTAGCGCGCTTCCGTCCGCTGGTCAAATGAGGGTCCCGCCCCCGTCAGGGGGTTTGGATGCCGAAAACGGAGCCCAGCATGGATGGATGGCACTCAGCAAACAATTGGAGCAAACAAACCAAGCAAACCAAACAATAAATGGCGTCGAAATGCACATTCCAGCTTCATCACCATCATGCCTCGATGATTGAACCGCCGAGCCTCGGCCTCGGTGGCCATAGCTTCTTGGGCTAGACTCCCATGTCGAGGGTTCATGATGGAATGCTGGAAATGCGCCCACGCATTATCCACAGTCCACCCACCAATGCATGCAATGCATGTGTTGGGGATCGCCTGTTAGAATGGTTAGCTCCGCGCACGAAGCGCTACGCGCCCACGCGCCAGCCAATACGACGGCGTGGACAGCGCCCCAACCTTTTTCTTTCTTTTTTGGGCGGCTTGGCCGGAACGTCCCAAAAACGCTGGGTGGCAACCCACAGTGCCCGCAGTGCCCGCAATGCCCGCAGTGCTTACAGTGCCCGTAGCGCACACCCTGCATATGTAATAGACGGTGTCTGACATCATCGTCTGCATGCCACGACGGCGGGCCGCGCACGCCGCGCAGGTCGGCCCACTGAGAACACCACTGGAAAGACCACGGAGAGAAAACCACGGAGAGAAAACCACGGAGAGAAAACCACGGAGAGAAAACCACCAGTCGACAGCACTTCGCTGCACAATACACTGTTGATCACACCCTCCATCTCCATTGTTCGTCCTCACAGCTCCAGTGTGCCCGGCCCTCCCAGAGCCCTCCTAGAGCCCTCCTAGAGCACTGCCATGGCGAGCTCTCCTTCCACGGGCCCCAACGCCCCCGTGGACCTACACCTCGACAAGGAAAAAGTCAAAAAGGCCTTTGATGTTTCGCACTTTGACTTGAATGCTGTGCTTCGCGGCGCCCAGTTGACCCTAGTTGGGGGTGAGCCGGCCTTCCTACGAGCATGGCTGCTTTGTACCTTCCTCCGTCATATCCAGGGCTGACAGCCGACGCCCCCCTCAACAGCCCACCGCGCCCTCCAGAACCCCGCCATCTTCACGTCGGAGCACTACAAGCAGGTGGCATATGCCGTCGCTGCCGGAATAGCCATCCGCTTGATAATCGCCATCCCGGTATGCTTCCTTTCCACACCCAAGTTTCCACACCCAAGGCTGGCCCTTGTTCCGCCGCTAACTCCCCCAATCCAGATTTTCGGAGTCAAGCTTCTCCTATGGTTCCTTGGCTTCGTATTCCGCCTTGAGGACGGTGCCTGGGACGATAAGCTCGTCGATGGCCTGAACTTTATTGGCGAATATGTTCTCCAGGTGCCCCTTTTTCTCATGACCCTGATGCGCTCCATCACGCCAACCCTCGACAACCTGTAAGCATCGCTCGTGAACGAACTGCTCTCGCCCCACTGTAATGTTGTAAGCCGGATCAGTTGACCGTCTTCTCGCCTTCCAGCTTTATGGACTCGCTGCGATGGGTCGACATGACCTATGTCCAGAAGCACAAAAATGACAAGCCCGATGAGCTCAGGGACATGTACTATCCAAACCTGAGCATGTACCCCAAGCGCGACGGGAGCACCAACTCGACCAGCACCGCAGAGGCCACCTCGATGTTTCTCTGGAGGTTCGCCCGCAAAGGCGGCATCTCGCTCGCAATCTTTGCTGCTTCGTACCTCCCCGTGATCGGACGCCTTGTCCTCCCCGCTGCCAGTTTCCATACCTTCAACAAGGCAGTCGGCCTCGGCCCAGCCTCGGTTATTTTCGGCACCGGCCTCTTCCTCCCAAAGCGGTACCTGGTAATCTTCCTGCAGACCTACTTTGCGTCTCGCAGTCTTATGCGCGAGCTCCTCGAGCCGTACTTCTCACGTGTCCACATGACCAAGCAGCAGAAGAAGAAGTGGTTCCGAAGCCGTGAAGGTCTCCTTTTTGGGTTTGGCATCGGCTTCTACATTTTGCTTGTTAGTTTCTCACAACCATTTCCACTCAAGACCTATGCACGCAAGTCAGACGCATCTAACCAGAAGATGCATCGAACCAGCGCGTTCCGCTGCTTGGCGTCTTGATATACGGAATCGCCGAGGCGTCAACCGCATATCTCATTACCAAAATTACCGACCCTCCACCGCGAGCTTCTGAGCGGGCCGCATTTGCCGAGTCACAGGTTGTCTGGAAGAACAAGCACGAGTTCTTGAACCTGTCTCTGGGTAACCTGGACGCGCTTCAGACCAGCCCTCGCGAGAACCCACCGCCATATGCCGAGGTTGACCCACGCGCAAAGGCTTCGACGTCGTGATGATGGAGCAGCCCGGGTTTTGAACGGTATCTGAGTAGGTAGTTGTCTCGATGATGATAACATGTCTTGTTGCGGCAAGAAGGTGCCCAGCCGAGGAATGCGGAATGGAGAGTACTAGTTTTGGAAACATTGGCACTGGAAGCAAGCTGGCTTTCAAGCCGCAAGAAATTATTACGTTTCATTATGCATTTAAGTTGGTTGCAATCGGCCCGGGGCTATGGCCTATCAGTCCTCTTATCTATACAAGGTCGAGGGCGGAGCTGCATCGGAGTGGCGGCATCTGCAGATGCGGGGAGCAGCTGCGAAGGAGACATCGCCAAGCAAACTACTGGCCGTAGAAATTGTTTCACAATCTTCGGGCTTTGTTCTAAAAAATCGGTGTCTGGATGCGTGCCACTTATCTTGGAGCATGGCTTGCTAAGCAAATAGGTATGGATGCATGTTATCAATGCCGTCAGTTCTGCATTAACAACCTTGGACGGAAGGTTAAGGTGGTTGATCCCGCGGGCTGCGCCGCGGCCATGCCACTCGGTAACAGATAAATTCTGGGTGCGGGGTAGGGGTCGAGAAGGGGTTGGGACGGTTCTGTGGCATCTATAAATACGACCAAAGGAGGGAGTCCTGGAGGCTCTGCATAAGGTCAAGCGTTTTGCTGTGTGTGGTGCAGAAAGCCAACAACATAATTCCAATACTCGCAAACCAAACCTCGTATTCGACCATGCCCGGGATACGGACAGCCTGCAAGGTCAGCCTTGACAAGCCGGCGGCCGAGCAGCCGCAGCTTCATGTAAGCCGTCTGTCCTTGCCGGGGACGAATGACAGTAGCAGCAAAGCGTCCAGTCGTTTGGCGAGACATGCAAGCTGCTAATAACACGGACAGAACCGCTGGCACCCAGACAGTACGTCTTGATGACAGTTGCTTCCTATACATACGTGTATCATGGTAGAGGCACGGGGCAGCCCCTGACAAAAAAGATCAGTTCCGTTTAGTGGCACCATCAAAAATGGGGAGACGGTCAAGATCGAATGTGTCGACTGGTGAGCTGACCCTACCATACTAAACCAACCCCTGGCTTCCTACCCATGCTGAGCGGCAGCAATCCCAGGACGGGCGGCCAGATCGGCAACAACGACTCGGCCGACGACATGCGGTCGGTCGACCTCACAAAGATCCACTACCTGAGCGGGCCGTTCGAGGTCGAGACGGCCGAGCCGGGCGACGTGCTGCTGGTCGAGATCATGGACGTGCAGCCGTTCCAGGACCAGCCGTGGGGATTCACGGGTGTCTTTGACAAGGGCAACGGGGGCGGCTTCTTGGACGAGTTTTACCCTTCGACGTCAGTTCCACTGTTCCGTTTTCCTTCTGGTTGTAGATGGATCACGGGGGCGTGTGTGTGAGAGCTGACAGGGGAGAGAAAGAAAAAAAACAGCGCCAAGGCCATCTGGGACTTTGAGGGCATCTTCTGCACCTCGCGCCACATCCCGCACGTCAAGTTCGCGGGGCTGATCCACCCGGGGATCCTGGGCTGCGCGCCGTCGGCCGAGGTGCTGGCGACGTGGAACAAGCGCGAGGCGGAGCTGATGGCGGCCAACCGGCTGGACCGCGACGTCGCCAAGCCGCCCGAGCCCGTCAACGTGCACGCCGGGGCCGCGGGCGCCGAGGTCCGCGAGAGGGTCGGCAGGGAGGGCGCCAGGACGATCCCGGGGAGGCCCGAGCACGGCGGGAACTGCGAGTGGGTGGTAGCCCCCCTCCCCCTTTTTTTGGCCGGCTGGTGGATTTTGCTGATACGGTTGGCGACGAAAACGCAGCATCAAGAATCTGAGCCGCGGGAGCAAAGTCTACCTCCCTGTTCACGTCCCCGGCGCCAAGTTTAGTGTCGGCGACCTGCACTTCTCTCGTAAGTGTTCATGTCCATACATATCGCAACAAAAGAATGAGCAGACGGGAGCTAACCCCCGACCCAAGAGGGCGACGGCGAGATCTCCTTCTGCGGCGCCATCGAGATGGCGGGCATCATCACCATCAACTTCAAGGTGCTCAAGAACGGCATGGCAGACCTCGGCTCGCCGGGACAGCCGCTCAAGTCGCCCATCTACATCCCGGGCCCCGTCGAGCCGCACTTCGGGCCGGGCCGCCACATCTACTTTGAGGGCTTCAGCGTCGACCAGCACGGCCGCCAGCACTACATGGACGTGACCGTCGCGTACCGCCAGACCTGTCTCCGTGCGTCTAGCCTTCATCCTCTTGTGTGTGTGTGTGTGTGTGTGTGTGTGTGTGTGTGTGTGTCTTGATATCTCTATCCAGCTTCTGACTGTACCTCCAGGCGTCATCGAGTACCTACGCAAGTTCGGCTACAGCGACTACCAGATCTACCTACTCATGTCGTGCGCGCCTATTCAAGGCCACATCGCCGGCATTGTCGACATTCCAAACGCCTGCACCACCATCGGCCTGCCCATGGACATCTTCGACTTTGATATCTCGCCAGCGGCGGCCGCCAAGGCCGAAAAGCAGGACATGGGCTCGTGTGCCTTTGAGACGGGCGTCAAGGAGGGCGTCGTGACCAACGGCGGCGTAAACAGCCAGCACAGCTTCGGCGGCGGCCTGACTTACAAGGAGTGACTGGGATGTTGGGTCTGTGTGTGCTGCGACAAGGGCCATCACAAAAAAAGGATTGTGGTGATGCATCGTCCATGTGCCTATCTCGTCTATATAACCCCTTCCCCCATCCTCCCGAAACCCGTCATCCGCTGTCCGGAATCTCGTCAAACGCTTGGTGGCCCGTGGTCTTGCTGTGGTCGTTAGCCGCCTTGACGTCGCCGAGCCAGTCGCACCCCGGGACGAGGCACTGCACAACCATGGTGTTCGTGTCGGTAAAGTAGCCGGACTGACGCAACTTCTCGGCCAGCTCCTTGGCACGCTCGATGACGGAGTCGTCGTCGACCGAGAAGCGCGTGATGTCGGCGTCGGGCGGGTAGTCGGGCGAGAGTGCGAACACGATGCGGTCGTAGTGGATGCCCGAGTACAGCACCAGGCACCTTTCCGTCTTGTCCTCGCCGTGCTTGAAAGTTTGGTTGGTCTTTTTCTAATGTTAGGACGATAGCAAAGGTTCCATCAACGGTCTAGGGGGCTGGGTTGCTTTACCTTGACGTCCACGGCGATGATCTGGATATCGTAGATGTCGCTGAGAACCGAGATCTCGATGGAGCCGCCCCAAAAGTCTTTGCCGCGCAGGTTTCTCACGTACTGCTCGGGCGGCTTCTCGAGCGTGGCATTGTTGTACGTCTCTGGGTGCGCCAGGATGTACTCGGCGATCTGGTTGCGCAGGTACGGCGCCGGGTCCTTGACGTCGGTTGCCAGAGTGCCCGAGAGGGCTGTAAAGAGGCAGCTGTTGTCGTCGGCCATGACGCGCAGCACTGAGCAAAATCACAATCAGTCAGCTCAGTTGTGTGTTTATGTGAGTGTGGGCTTTTAGTTTGGCCATGACTGAGGTTGTGACCATGATATTCTGTCTGTCCTCTTACCCATACAGCCGTCCATCTCAGGCCATCGCACAGAAAGATTATCGGGCTTGGCCTCCGGGGGGCGCGCCGAGAATAACTGGTCGGCGCCGGCGCCGGTGGACGAGGTTTCGGCGGGCGGATCTGCCGGCGTGAGGGTGATGGCCGAGCCGTTGAGCCCCAGGCTGCTCAACGTCGCCCCTGAGTCACTCAGGTCGAGCGTCTTTGGTGGGAAGCCTTCCTTCAGTAAGAAGTTCCGTGTCCCGGTCTCTGACCTGAGATGTTCGAGAAGCTGCGAGGCTGTCCAGCTGTCCTCAACCTGGACCTGGAGCGTGCCGTTTGGGTGGCGGACCCGCATCCGAACCAAGCCCATTTTGATAAATGATAAAACAAAACAGGAATGCGCCTGGTTCTGCCGAGTCTTTGACCTTGTGATGTTCACGGGTGAGGCGCGGTTTTGATAATAGAACCTGTGTCTCGTCAACTGTGAGCCAACGACAGGACCTGTGACTTGTGATGGTCGAGGTTTGTGGCAGTGACGTGGCCAAGAGGCGAGGTGGATTTTATCGTCGCCACCACCTCCCAGTGACTTAGTAGGCGCTCTAGATAGGCCAAATAGACCAGCTTCTGGAATCCTGGGTTTGGCAGCGCTGGCCGTCAGCCGCCGAGTTTGGCCCTGGTGGTTTCAGGACGGAGGTTCCGGATACGGACGACTAAGCAGGGGCCCTAGTCTATGTCGGTTAGAGCTGAGCAGGCGGGATCGTCCCCGCGGGGTGGTCGTGGTTGGGTTGTGGTTGGGCAGGGTGCGCCGTTTCTTTGCTTGCGCTGACCGTTCTAGCCAACGGTCTGCTGCAAGAAGTTGGGAACTTGGCACCTTGGACGGAGTCACACGCTCGCCGCTGTCAATAATCTACCAGCTCACCAGCTTTGTTCAAGGTATGCACGCCGCAACAATGTGGCAGGCATTCATGGAATTTCCTAGTCCGGAATCTCCTTGCCTCCTTAGTCAGGGGGATCGGTGAGCACGTGATACCAAGCTGCCACGGCGGGTCACCTGGACTGCGGCCCCACCCAGCGGCTTGGAGCTCAGTCCCAGACAGCTCGGCGCGAGTCGCGTTTTGGTTGACGCTGCATCAAATGGCACTGAACTTTTTTGTTGGCGCGTTCCTGGCAGCCCGCTCGCACCTGCCCCGTCCGACGAGACCCGCCCTCTAAGGCTTGACGACTCAGGACGGTGCCGTCCTCTTTGCCCAGGTTCCCTTTGCCTGGCAAGAACAGACCCATGCGTACCACGCGGTCGTCGCGGGCAAGTCTTGACGCTGCGCCTGCGCCGTCCTCCATCACCGTAAACACAAACACCTCCTCCACCACCGCCGCGTCCCCCACACGATCTAGGCCGTCCACAAAGAGCATGGCCACCCGCCCCGCCGACGCGCCCACCGACCCCGGCCCCAGCGAGGTGCGCGAGTCCATTGAGGCCAGGCCGACCGCCGCCGCCGAGGACGTTCAGATGGAGGACGCGCCTGCTCCGGCGCCTGGCCCCGATGCGCCCGCGCCCGCGCCAGTGGCTGCTGCTGATGTCGCGCAAGCGCCCAGCAGTAGCGCTACCACCAGCGCACAACCCGACCAGGCTGCCGATGCGGGCACCTCCCAGGACGCCGACGCCGACGCAGACGCGGATGCTGATGCCGACGCCGATGCCGACGCCGATGGAGACCCGGACGATGCCGCCGAGGCTGCTCGGAATTCCTACCGCGACATGGTCAGCCTGATCTCTGAGACGTCGGCATACCTATGTGAATTTAAGGAAGACCCAGAGTATGGAGCATCTTTACCCTTGGTTTACCCTTGGTCTGGGGCCTCCTGGAGGCGCAATGCTGATTCTTGCCTTCAAACTCTGCAGGGATGAAGTCACACTGGCCGCCAACTTTCAGCGACTCTTGAACAGGAGATCGTATCCGGACTACTTTGAGGTTATCAAGGAGCCAGTCGCATTCAGCACTATCAGAGTATGTCGTCGGGATTTTATCCCCCGCTGCGCCCATGCATTACTAACTTTCTCTCGCCTCGCAGCAAAAAATACTGAAAAAAGGCTATAACAACTTTGGCGAGTTCGTTCGCGACGTCGCCTTGATTTGCCACAACGCGCAGGTTTACAACCGTCCTTCGGCCCTTGTTTTTGGCGAGGCTGTCAGGCTTCGCGAAATCTTTGTGAAGGAACTAGAGAGGCTGGTACAGGAGAAGCAGATCACTCCGGACGAAGCCAAGCTCCCGTATCTGGGCGAGATCCCAGACGCGGACGACGACTCACCTTCGCCCCCTCCCGAGGAAGAAGAAGAGGAGGACGAGGACGAGGATGACGAGGATGACGAGGATGAGGATGAGGATGATGACGACTCGGACGATGATGGTAGGGGTCGCCGCCGGCGGCGTAACCGCGGCTCTCGCAGGGACGATGATGACGATGCGCACAAGAAGCGTGGCCGTCCGCCCAACGTCTTCACGCCCATGGAGGCTCGGATCGACAACCTGCTCAGGGGCCTCCGCCGGTTCAAGCACGACAGCGGCTCGCTGCGCATTCTTCACTTCGAAAAGTTGCCGGACAGGGCGCATAACCGTGAGTATTACGACGCCATCAAGGAGCCCGTGTCAGTCGAGTCCATCAAGAGGAAGATGAAGCGCAAAAAGTATCACACCTTTGACCAGGCCGCCGCCGACGTCGAGCTTATGTTTGAGAATGCGAAGCGGTGGAACGAGGAGAGCAGTCAGCTGTACGCGGATGCCGTCGAGTTACAGCACCAGGCTCGCCTGCTGGCTGCCCAGGAGAGGGCCAAGCCTGACGACTCCTTTGTCGACGAGGAGGGGAAGCTGCCGCTGGCCGAGATCAACTATAACAGCCAGGTGTACAAGGTCGGCGACTGGGTGCATATTAGGAATCCCAATGACCTGTCCAAGCCCATTGTAGCGCAGATCTACCGAATGTGGAAGGACAGCTCAGGGCAGCACTGGATCAACGTGTGCTGGTACTATCGCCCGGAGCAGACGGTGCACCGGTACGAGAAGCACTTCTGGGAGAACGAGGTGGTCAAGACAGGCCAGTACCGCGACCACCAGGTTGAGGAAATCATGGACCGGTGCTTCGTCATGTTCATCACGCGCTATCACAAGGGCCGGCCGCGCGGGTTCCCGCTGGACAAGGAGGTCTATGTCTGCGAGGCGCGTTACAACGAGGAGAAGTTCACCTTCAACAAGATCAAGACGTGGGCCAGCTGCCTACCGGACGAGGTGCGCGAGAAGGATTACGATATGGAGAGCTGGCGCGTGCCCAAGAAACTCAAGAAGTACCGCAGCCCCATTGCGCACCTGCTGAGGCACGACGCGACCGAGAACGACCCCTTGCCCAAGCCAACCTGGGGCAGCCCCAACGCCCCGCCGCTGCTGGGCGCCGTCCACAGGCGGCCCAGGGAGGATAATGTGAGTGCTTCAAACCAGGGATGACTGCCTCGTCCGTGGTCATGTTTTTGCTCAAGTTCCCTGTGTTTCTTCTCCCGACGGAACCTATCTGGCTGCACCCTCCTACCTCTCTACAACCAGAGGTACCTCCCTCCCTCCCTCCCTCCCTTGTAGACATGCCCATCTGTGCGTAATCTGCCCAGGCACCCAGCAAGGTCAACCAGGACGTTGTTGGTCAGCGTATGACGCAAACCTCTCTCCCTCGTCCTTCCTCCCTTTGCTGCTTCCCACTACCCTGCCCTCCCTGCCCTTCCCACAGACATCTGCGCTTGCCCGCCTCGCCATCAATCCCACACCTACCACTGGCCATGTCCATCCATGCTTTGGCACTTAATCATGCCCCCAAGCGAGTCACGGTTGCGACTTGACTCTCATTGGACCTAGACACTCGTATCAGCCCTCTCACTGTGTCGCGCACCGCCTCTTCTGGCTGCGTGCCGCGTCGCAAAATCTCGTGCTCCAATTCGCTACAGCCGAGCTGGCTTGAGCTTTCTTGCTTCCATTGCCGTTTCTCAGCCCCATCACCTCCCCTTCGTTTGTTCCTTGCTGAGCCCTCTTGCTTTTGCCTTCCCCTTTTGTCGCCGTCTTTCTGCCGCGCACTCCCGTCATCTGGCCTTCTTCATTCCCCCTCTCTTCCGTGTCTCCCTGCTCATAATGTAATTTGTCCAGGAATCGCCACCACCCCGACCAAGTCCGCCGCCTACCGCAGTGCCGCCCCCATTGGTCCCGCCCGACCAGCAGCGGCGACACTCTTTCAGAGGTGACGTGCACCTGACAGGCACACCGACGGCTCCCTACCACCACCCCATGCCCGCAGGCCCCGCAGCCTCGCCTACTCCCATCGGGTACCCCCAGGGATACGGTCCACAGAGGGTCGCGATGCCATCACCAGTCCCTGCTCCAGCGCATATGCATCAACCGATGGGAGGGCATCCAATGCCCGCACAGTCCCAGAGCGGCTTCATGCCGCAAACCCCTCACCACCACGCACCTCAGTACCAACCGCAGCAGTACGTTCCGAGCCCCAGTCAACCAGCCGTGGGCCACCACCACCACATGGCCGCCCAACCAGCGATGCAGCCGACGGCATACGATAATAGAGCGATGGCGCCTATGGCCACGGCGCTGGCTCCGGCGCGGGCACCCATGGCCGCCGTGCCAAGCCCAGTTGCGATGCAGGCCACCATGGTCCCGGCACACGCTGTTGCACCTGCGGGACCCTCATCACACCACAGCAGCGGCGGCGGCTATAACCCACCGCAACCGCCGCAGGTGTACACGCTGCCGGACGCCATGGACGCAGGCATTCCGGACGACGTGCGCGAGCAGTTCCAGCGTGACGCTCGCGGCCGCGTGCTTTTCTTCACAACCCCGCCGGCCAACCGGCCCCACGCTGGCTTGTCAGATGAGCACGCGGGTCTCGGCCACAGCGCGCGATTCCTGGCGGACAGGAAAGCAGCCGAGGCAGAACGGCTGCGGAAGCGCAAGGAGCGGGACGAGGAGCTGGCGCGGGCGGCCGAGGCGCGCAAAAAGGCGGCGACGTCTTGCGAGGATGATGGGAAGGAAGAGGGTCAAGACCGCGAGGCCGCCGTCCTAGGCGTTCTCTCGTCGTTTGTGGAATCGATGGACCGCATGACAGCAGATCTTAACGTGTCCATAGACGGCTGGTCTGCGGAGAAAGCCAAGTGGCAGCACGAGAAGATGGCTGAAGCGAAGAAGGCCCACACAAACGGAGTGCGGCACTGAGCTAGCCTTGCTGGTTGGTATGGAGGTGATAAACGCTAGAAAAGGAGAATTTCTTATCTTCCAGTCTATTTTCTCGGTCCCTTTTTTCTGCTTTTTTTTTCTGGCTCCCGCGAGCCACACCTAACATCAGGACAGTTGTTTTCTGTAATTTACTATCAGACGGACGGGTGGTGTTTTGGCGCCGGCTGTGTTGGGGAGGATATCACATGCCTGCCTTGCGTTTCCCTCGACCACCCAAACAGAGTTTTCTTTCTTTCTTCACATGACTGTCGGCCACGTCGTCCTGGTGAATACATGGTTTCCAGTTGTCTCGATGTTGCTCTCAATGTTGTTCTTGATTCCACGGATGTTTTTGTTTTGAGCTTGCGTGGTTGTTCTGTCACCATTGGCCGCCTGTTGCACCCAAGCTTAGTCAAAGCTGGCCGTTGTCCTCGCGTCGGGCCTCGATGCGGCACGCGGAAGCTGAGGCAGGGGTCCACACCCCAATGCTGGCTGCCAAATGGATTGCCCCACTGGCCGCCCGCACTCCGACTCACTCGCATCGAGCCAACCGATCAGAGGGCCCGCCCCCACAGCAGAAGGCGCGAGCGCGCTAGAACAAAAACCGCCACCCAACCTGACCTGGAAGGTACAGCACACGCCACGAGCCCCGATTGACTCCACTTTAGCACCAACTCACGTCCGAATCTCGTCCAAGCATGAACTCCGCAGACAACACAGCGAACTTGCGCGGCAACCTGCAGCCCTGTTTTCCTTCCTTTCTCTCTCTTTGAACCTTCAACTTTGTCTTGGTCCTCGGTCTGGCATAACAAAAGCGCTGCTTCGTTTCCCTTGTCTGTCTGCCCGTTCTTTTCCCAGCTTACTTTGGCGCAACCCTGGCCTCGTCGGCGCTGACGCTCCCCACTCTGGTTGGGCTCAGATTCGTCATACCTTGGTTTGTTCTGTTGTCTTTGGTCTTCGGTGTTACTCACGCATGTCCGTGTTTTTGACCTCGCCCTCAGATCGAACTCAACTTCGTCTTCCCTTTTCCGCCCAACTTCCCTAATCTCCGCTACCACCTGTCCGCCCGCACCTACCAACTGAGAAAACTTCCACCACTGCATTCCCTCGGCGGGTCTTCTCGTTTCTTGCCCTTCCTCCCTGCCGTCGCGGCTTCCTGCTTTGCCTTCCCGCCGGAGATGCCGTCTTGTTACACACCCACGGACCTGCTTTCAACTTCCCACCTTTGATCAGACCCGACATGCGAATCCCAAGTCGCAGTCCCAAGAAGGACCACCATGGCCACCGGAAGAAGCACGGCGGAGGCGGCTGTCGGCTCCTGTCGTCGCCCCCGCCGTCGCCGCCACCGCGCGCTGCCTCGCCCAAGCTTGGCAACTTTGGGGCTCTCTTTAGAGTCCTAGCCGACGACCCGATCTTCGTCTTCCCCGACGCGCGGTCCACTTCGCCTGCCGTCTCGAAGCAGTCGACGTCCGCAGTCGGTGGTGCCCCTCCAAGCCCGGCTGCATCATCCTCCGAGCTGGTAGCATCCGGGCCTGCCGATGACGGCACGTCCCTGGCCCGTGAGCCCGAGGCCGAGCAGTCGACACCCCGCGTGCCCTTCATCCCTCGCGAGTTCCTCGACAGACTCGACTTCTCTGCTCTCAGCCCGGCAATCTCCGAAGCCCGAAGCCCCATCTCTTCCAAGGCATGGAGCTCGTCTCCCGCCACCCAGACCTACTCCACAGCTGCCTCGTCTCCGCCCTCGATGGTAGGAGATAGCTTCAACTCTGCCGATGACCGCTGCGATGCACCATTTTTCAGCAACCCAACCAACGAGATTTCTTTGCCCGGCCCCAGTCTACTGAAACAAAACGACCCGGTCCGGAATTTGCATCCTGATCCTATCGAAGCACCCGAAGCCTCGACTCCTTCTCATTCTGTTGGTGGTGCTATTTACGGCTATCATTTTGCCGTGCCTTCAACAGCCCCAGTCTCTTATGGTCCTATCTACGGTCCTCCCTGTATCATCACACCCTACGAAGGGCTCAACACAGCCGCTCTCGCGACCCTCAAACAAGAGCTGCGGGCGGCCGAGCAGTCGCTCGCCGACGACGAGCACAAGCTTGCATCCGCCGCGGATCGAAACTATAGCCGTCTCGCCCAGGGGCCCGCTTATCTGGATCACTACTCTTATGGCTATAATGTCTTCACAGTCCCAAATCAGCCTCTTTGGTTTTGTCCCATTCCCCTCGGCCCGCTCTCGCGTGTCGAGCAGGTTGACACGCGCGACTACCAGCCGCAGTACGCGCCTTTCCACAACGCAAACGTCGTCAACCCGGTTTATTTGGCCAGCAGACCCGCGAAGGCCAACATCATTGCCGCAAGGCTTGGCCTCGAGTGCGCTAAGGACGCTGTCTTGCAGGCTGATTACGCTGCCGTGTCGAGCGAAGAAATCCACATCTTCGTCGACATGTCGAATATAATCATCGGCTTCTACCAGCACGTCAAGCGCAGACGGGGTATCCCTGCAAGCAAGAGGATGCTTGCGCCGCCCTTCTGGTTTGAGGGCTTGTCTCTGATCCTCCAACGCGGCCGCCACGCCGCCAAGCGCGTTGTTGCAGGCTCCGCGGCTGAGCCACATGTCAAAGACAAGTGGCCGCAGTACATGAAGGACGCGGAGGGCCTTGGCTACGAGATGAACATTCTCAGCCGCGTGACCAGGCCACAGCCTCCGACGCCCAAGGCCCAGCGACACAACATGCGGCGTGCAAAGCCGAACAACCAGTCCTTGACAGGATCCTCGGACGAGGACCCACGGGCCCCGCCGCCCTGCATCCTGAAAAACGGAGAGCAGGGAGTGGATGAGATACTCCATCTCAAGATGTGCGAGAGTGTTCTCGACTTCGAGAGGAGCACCATCGTCCTGGCGACCGGAGACGCTGCGGTTGCCGAGTTCTCGGGGGGCTTTCTCGCCATGGCTGAGCGGGCCCTTGCCAAGGGATGGCATGTCGAACTTGTTACGTGGAAGTCGTCAATCTCGTCCTCTTGGCGCAGGCTCAGCGCATCGGGAAAATGGGCGGGTCGCTTCAGGATCGTTCCCCTGGATTCGTTCGTCGAGGAGCTGTTCGACTCATCGACTCCGCTCTGCTGATGGACCAGCTTGCTCAGGCAACAACTCGGGCATGGACGGGGTAGTACTGTCGCATGCCCGTTGTATGTTCGCCTTCAGCACGATTTCCGTCGCGGCAGCCGCTTGGGCCGGACTGTACTCGAGACTCATCCGCCATACTCCATCTTGCACGATGATTCGTGGAAGCATCATCAACCTCGACTTCGCCTTTCTAATCTCTCCAACTTGGACTTTTCTTTTGTGGCGCCATCTCAGCCACCCATTTTCACACTCAATTTGCGGCCAGTCAGTCGGATCTCCTTTGGCCCTTGTGCCGCTTGTTTTCTACCCAAGGCTATCACAGCCTGGGATCGAATGCTGCATGAGCATTTCTTACACACCACTTGACGGCTGTATGATGTATGCAACTGCATTGCACCGACTTTTTATCACGACGAACGCTCCACCACGGTTGTCTCTTGATTCACGACCTTCACGGAACTCTCAACTGTATCGCTTGTTCTTCTCGTCCACGCTCCCAAGAATATTGTCTGTCGCTCAGCACGACCAACCCGGACTGGCGGCGACTGGCGGCGGATCTGGCTCTTCGGAATTTGGGCATCATGTCGCCGAACAATAAATACTTGGGTGCGGACATTTGGAGAAATACCAGGCCGGCTGGGAGGATAGTATGATGTTTCGTCTGGGCTTCTGGTTCTTGGTTCTTGTTTCTTGTCTTTGAGTTGTTTCTTCTTTCCTTCGCTACGGGGTTAAACTTGGAGGGCTCGGTCCGGATGTTTGATATGCATTTCCGAGCGTCATCTGGTATTTCCTTGGGTTTTACATATTCTTTATATTGCCCTAGGATGCCTGCACCTACACTGTTATTCTTTGCGCACATATCTACATTTTTCCTTTTTTTTTCTGATTCAGAAAGACATATTGGTCCAGGTCAGGATTGGGACTTTTCCTGTTGTTATGGAGTTTCTGGTCAGGGTATCAAGGCGTTGCTTTCGGCGGCTGTTGCGGTCGTACTTGTTTTTATTTTGAATGCACGTTCTTCGGTTTTAATTCTTTCCCGTCCTGGGCTACCCGAATAGTGTCTTGTCGAACTTGGTGTCGGCGTCACGCAGCGGGCGACATTCGGTCGCACAAGGGCGCGAGGAAAAGCGTGAAGAGATGGGCTGCGTTGCCTTTGGGGAGTTGGTTGGGTTTGGCATGATTGCGTTGAGATATCTGGCTGGTGTTTGGGACAGCGCCATATGAAGGTAAAGGGGCAGCTGTCATGATCACTATAGCATGTCAATTTAAAAACGGCATTTTGTGGGGTTCACTGACACTTGACCAGTCGCTTCGGGGGCTGATGTGACTATCGGGCGCGGCAAGGTGGACACAGGGGGTTTGGCGGTGGCTTGGAGGCAGCTCAGCCGGAGGAGCTCTCGGAGCTGAGGCGCGACCGGGCAGGGTACATGGAGGGCGGCGCATCCATCACAGCCGGCCCAGGAGAGAGGGAGCGAGGGTGGCATAGCTGCAAATGACGGGGGTGTGCCAGGAAAGAGCCGCTGCATGCGAAGATGCAAGCCGTGGTGTCATTGCAGCCGTTTATGGTATCGGGTTGGGAAGGGATGGGATGTGACTGGCTGGCGGTTCTGTCGGGGTGCTGGTCGGGTGTTGGGCTGGGCATGGGTTTTCGCATGGCTCCAGGGAGCGCTTACTTATCTTGATGTGCTGGACTATGTGTGAGGATGTCCATGGCCGTCGCCATGGTCGCCGTTGTCGTCCTTGGGCAGAGAAGCATCGGCCAGCAAACCACCTTCGCGAGCCCCGCTGCTCTGGCGTTTGGCTGAGTGAGCCTTGAGCTAGCAGGCCAACAACGACATGTCATGAAATCCAGCTGGATGGCTTGGGTGACGCATGCTCGAGGTATTGCAGGTCGTGGCTAGCCGGGGTGGGTGGCCAAGGTGGTGGCGCTAGCTTGCGATTAGCTCCCTTCTTTGGGGCCCAAGCTGTAGACTGCGACCAAGGCCAGTAGGTCAGCTCCCCAGCACAAGACTGCCCACATGCGCCATTGCTGATGGACGGGACGCTGTCGGGGTGGAGATGCATGGTTGCGTGATGCTACATTTATGTGTGTGAAGTGTGTAGTGCTGGTATAGGTGGCATGTACGTACACGGTGCAATAAAAATGGCGAGATGGAGCTGTGACGCGGTGATGTAAGACCATGACCATGTGGGACAGGCACATGCGGGTGCAGTCAGTCAGTCGTTCGTTCGTCCGAGATTGGATCCAACACAACGCGAACCCCAAACCCCTGGCGGGATGCTTTTGAGGGGGGGCATGAACTGTCGGTTGATTTGCTTTATTATTACTACTACCCGAGGCGCACCTTCTGCGTGGGAGGGCGGAGGCGGAGGGAGAGGGGCTTGGGGTAGCGGTGCTAGTGTTGGCTGAATCAAATTCAAGGGTCAAATCTTTCATCCAGGATCTGAGCTTGTGTGTGTGTCTGGTGTGCGCTGTGTGCGTCCCAAGGGCGGGCCGTTGACCTGCCTAGGTGGGATCTGGAATCCTTTAAAGTCCGGTCCCCTCCTTGGGGGGTTTTTGGCTTGGCTGCGTGCCCGCTTCCCTTCGCCTCACATGTTCGGCAGTGCTCTGGCTGGAATCGAGGTTGGGAAAGCAGAAGGACAACAGCAGCAGCAGCAGCACCACTACCACCACCACCAGAAGCAGCACCACCAACGACGACAAGACGAGCAGCACCACCCCGGCCAGCCCCAAGGACGGATTGCGGGTCTGCATGTGGAGGGGCGAGGCCAGAAGCAGCACCGACAAGCGCCGAGCAGCAGCAGCAGCAGCAGCACCGACCAGCCCCCGTCGCTTATAAGGAGCAGTGGCGGTCCTGTCCTCCCCCGAGCCCGCCGCCGGGTGGTCACCATCCCGTCGCCCTGCGCCTCGTTCCTGTGGTACCTAGCGAGATCGCGCCCGCCGCCGCCGCTACCGCCGCTTCAGCCTCCCGAACCGCAGCGAAAGCCACGGCTGGTCTGGCCGGGGCCCGTTCCGCCGCCGCCACCGCCACCGCCGCTGATAGACTACGCCGCCCGGCCAGCTGAGCGTGCCGCACTACCGCCACCAGTGCTGCCAAAGCCGCAACTGCCGATCCCGCAAATGACCGCCGACATGGCCAGCACGCCACCCGCAAACGGGGCTGCCGCGCCCCCGCCGATCCCCGAAAAGGTTGTCGTTTCCGGGCCGGTCATAGGTACGTTTTTGTGATTTGCTGCCTTTTTTTTCTTCTCTTTTTCTTCTTCTTTCTGTTGCGCATCATCTACCGTGGACACCATCTTGCTGGGGACCAGGCAACGGCTGCTCTTCTTCCTCTTCTTCTCCACCGGATCGGACTCCCCCGGACCACCACCCGAGCACACTCAGCGCTTATGTGAGGAGAGTGCGAGGTACAACTTGGCCGGATCCGACATTGGAGCTCACCAGTCTGGGCTTGGGGGAGCATCTACAAACGAGGCGTTGACGACGTGGGGGCTCTGAAAGAATTCAGGAAAGAGGAAGCGGAAAAATGGAGAGAGGAAAAAAAAAAGCATCAACGAGTTCGTTACACATGGAAACAATGACGCATTCCCGCAACCTCTTGCCATCGGACGGCTTCTCCAAAAGTCCGGCACAGCCCCGCAGACGACAAGATGGGAAGCCCCTGGTGGCCTGACTCTTGGTGACCTCGCCCTTGGTTTGCGTTTTGCAAGAAGACACCACATCCGGCCAGGCACGATGACTCGGCCGTTTACTCAGCCGCCAGCCCGACACGTACGTCTTGTCCGTCGTCTTGGTTGCACAGCCAGACGGATGAAAGATGGAGCCTGGACGGGCGGACAGACGGGGGGGATGCATCGTGGGAATCCGAGGATGCGTGCGACGCAATGCAAGAGAGACAGACAGACTCCGGCCGTTCAGCCCCGCTGGTCTTGGGGGGTGGACGCGTCCCTGGGCTGGGCTGCGACAGAGTGGACAGTGTGGGCATCTCCATCGGGCCCATGCGCCAGGCACACAGGGGCCAGCTCAGGCACGCCGTCGTCGATCCCATGTCGGATGCCGCAGCCGTCATATCTGCTCGCCCGTCGTCTCTTGTTCTGCATGCACCTCGTACGGCTTCCTGTGTGCTTCCTTTTCCAGAGACATCAGAAGAAAAAAACCAGGGCAGGCAGGGGTCCAGCATCCGAGGGGTCCGGGCTGTGCGTCTTTCTTCCAGGAGTCAAGCCGGGCGTTGTCGTCGTTTGTTGCTCCCCCTGTCCTTTTTCTTCTTTCTTCCAGCGGTCTGCAGCCCCTGCACCGACGGTCTGGTGGAATTGAGAAGTTGATTCCAATCGATTTCTTTGGCACGCCACTCGGCCCTCTCAATTTCCCCCCAACAAACATCCTTTATCGCTGGTGCGGCCTGGAATCCCGCAGAGTGTGAAGGAATTGCGAGGGAGCCTCAACTAGACTTGCCGGACAAGTTATAACAACAGCCACAGAGAAGGGGAAGAAGAAGAAGAAGAAGAAGAACCCGCCGTTGCCACCCTCCAACCGAGATTTTGATCAGCCGTGCCAGGCACCGGAAAGAACTCTGCAGACTGCACTGCAGTGGCTGCTGCAGCATCTCGGGTTCCCATTTCGGTCCCCTGACTGGCGCTTTCCAAAAGCAGCAGTGGCGACAGGTGGCGCTCGTTGCCTTGTTGCGACGTCCAACTGGTGGGAGACCAATTGAGCAGTTGCACATACAAACAGTAACAGCCTGCCGGAGCAACCAACTTCCCGTCTGATCTCTTCAGCGGCAGCGGAAGCAGCAACAGCCAAAACCTATGACGATTCGCTGACGACCCTTTTCCTACCGCCCTCACCCACTATTTCCTGCAGGCTCTGGCGCCCGACCGCCGCCACAGCAGCAGACGCAGCAGACGCAGCAGAAGCAGTCGACGCAGGAGATGCCGCAGCTTGGTGCGACTTTTGTCCCCGGTGGCTTTGACGACTACCAAATGCCCGAGGTGTTTGCTCCGTCCCCTCAGAGGTCAGTCAGTTTTGTTTTTGTTTTTTTCTTGTCGTTTTCTCTCTTCATCTTTCATTCCCAGCCAAAAAGATGAAGCCTAGCAGCTGCGGCTGCAGCTCTAGAGCTGCCTCTAGAGCCAGGCCAAGGCCGGCTCTGCACACCAGTCTGGATTGGATCGAGCTGTCTTTGCCGCATGCATCGACCCAGCGCACCCAATTTCCCGGCTCCAGTCCCCCTCCCTCAGCCCAACCAGCCCCTCGATTGTCCGCTTGCGTTGGCTGCCTGCCCACCTGCCTTGCTTTTTCCCCGCCAAAGCCCCTCCTTGCAGCCCTAGCCCATCACGCGCGGTAATGCGAGCCGTCTTGGTCCCCGAACCGCCCGTTCTTTGTTATTAGCGTCAGAGGGCCCCGACGCCCACCATGAAGTGCTTGGTGCCCTCTGACTGCCCCCTGCAACGGCTGAGAGCACTAGCGGGCCTGGCTGGCCTTGATTTGCTTAGGAGGAGAAACATCTACCTAAACAGAAGGCTAGAGAAAAAAAACCCCCAAAAAAAACCACCCCTGCTCCTGGCCAGCTCCGCCACGACGAGCAACGGCCAAGAGCCAAGAAGGGGGTGTGCGGGCGCGCGACTTTTTGCTGACATCGATCCTCCTGTCGGGCTCTGACGCAGGGTAATGCCAGAGGTCCCTCAGAACATGCAACAGGACCTCCAACGGCTTGAACAAACATCGGCCGAACTCGACGCGACCGAGCACCGCTCTGCCGGAGCTGCCTCGACAAACACCTCCAACGCCGCCGCAAACAAGAACGGCGGCAGTGGCCCCGACACGCCCGCCACCCACACCCAGGTGCCGCGCATCCAAGAGCCCGCTGCGGCCGAGTTCAAACCCTTCGAGGACAGCCACACCAAGTCGTACGACAAGATGGCGGGCCAGGGTGACACCTTCGACGCCCCCAGCTTCTCGCCCTTCCCCAAGGTCACGGGCGAGAACATACCCATGGGCGACGAGGACAAGGAGGAGATACTGTTCGACGCCCGCCAGCACGTCCTGCACTCCAACAATGTCGCCATGCAGCTGGCGTGGGCCCGCGACTCGCTCGCCTGGGTCGACATCGCCGCCGAGGCCTGGCAGCGCGAGAACCCGGGAGCCGACCGCCCCAGCACCCCCAAGGTCGAGCACGAGCTGCGCAAGGACGCCGTCAACATCGTCACGTACCTGTCGGAGCAGGGCCACCCCGAGGCCCTTTTCATGCGCGCCAAGTGGCTCGAGTTTGGCAAGTTCGGCCAGCGTGCCGACAAGCGCGAGGCCTTCCTGGGCTACCGCAAGGCCGCCGAGCAGGGCTGGGGCCGCGCCGAGTACCGCATTGGCATGCTGTACGAGAACTCCAACGACATGGAGAAGGCCATCCGCCACTACACAAACGGCATGGAGCAGGGCGACTCGGCCGCCTCGTACCGCCTGGGCATGATGAGCCTCCTTGGCCAGCACGGCTACACCATGGACTACCGCCGCGGCCTTGATCTGATCCAAGTGGCGGCCGACAGCGCCGACGAGGACGCCCCCCAGGGCGCCTACGTCTACGGCATGCTCATCGCCCGCGACCTGCCCGACCTCAACATCCCCGAGGGCCTGCTGCCCTCCAACCTGGCCCTCGCCCGCCAGTACGTCGAAAAGGCGGCCTTCCTCGGCTTTGCCAAGGCCCAGTCCAAGATGGGCCAGGCCTACGAGCTCTGCCAGCTGAGCTGCGACTTCAACCCCGCCTACTCGCTGCACTACTACGGCCTGGCCGCCAAGCAGGGCCAGCCCGAGGCCGCCCTCGGCGTCAGCCGCTGGTTCCTATTTGGCTACGACAAGATGTTTGTCAAGAACGAGCAGCTCGCGTTCCAGTACGCCAAGCGCGCCGCCGATGCCAAGCTCGCTACGGGCGAGTTTGCTATGGGCTACTACTACGAGATTGGCATCCACGTGCGCAAGGACCTGCGCGAGGCCCGCCGCTGGTATGAGACGGCGGCCGAGAACGGCAACAAGGACGCCCTGCAGCGGCTCGACTCGCTGAGCAACTCCAAGACGCTTACCAAGGAGGACCACGAGACGACGACGCTGACGCGCATCAAGTCGCAGCACGGCTCCCAGCGCGGCAAGCGCCCGGACCGCTTCAAGCAGAAGGAGGCGGCCATGCCGTCAGTGGCCGAGACGGGCTCGGGCTCGGCCACGCCCATCGAGAGGGGAGGCAGCCCCAACGGCGGCGGCCTGGACATGCCGGACCCGTCGAGGCTGTCGCTCAGCAGCAACAGCAGCGGACGCCCGCCAGCCTTTGGTGTCAACCTGCCGCCTCGGTCGAGCTCGGCCGCCCCCTACCCGGTTGACGACAGGCCACCCCAGGTCGGCGGCCTGCGGCCCCAGTCGGCGGCCCCGTACCCGGAGGACGACGTGGCCCACGCGCTGGCTCCTGTGTCGCCGCACTACAACCCCCAGATCCGAGGCAACGCGGGCGGCGGCAGAGGCGGTGCCAACCCGGGCTACGGCGCACCACCCCTCAGCCCCAGCGGCAGGCCAGACTCGCACCAGCAATACCCCCCACAGGGAGGTGCCGGCATGAGGCAGTCTCACTCGCACGGATCCGGCCTCGCCGCCGTGCAGCCAGCCGGACAGTCGGCTAAGAGCCGCGTTGTGTCGGAAGGCCCGGGAGGATTTGCAGGCTGGGACGCCCAAGGGCCGGGCGGCTACCGGCAGTCCCCCGCCGGTCCCGGATACGAACAGCAGCAAGGGGCACCGATGATGAGCGGTGCCGGCGGACCGGCGGACCCGACACGCAACCGACTGACCAAGCAGGGCGTCCCGCAGCCGCTGCCGGCTCAGGGGGCTTACAACCAGCGGCCTGGCGGTGGTGGGTATCCGTCATCGCACATTGCGGGTGCGGGGCAGCCTGGACGCGACTATGGACCTCGATCGTCGTCGGCGCGGCCGCCGTCGGAGCAGTACGACCCGCGCTACGCGCCCAATGCCAGGCCGCAGTCGATGCGGCCGGAGCGTCTCGACTCGCTGCCGCAGCAGAACCGCATGTCTACGGCCGGTCACCAGCCTCAGCAGCTCAAGGACAGGCCGGCCCCCCTGGACCATGGTCGACAGAGCGCACCGCCCGTGCAGGGTGGACCAGGTGCTCGGCCGAGCCCGGGGCCGAGTCCTGGACCCAGCCCCGGGCCTGGCTCGGCGGCTTCTGGCAGAAAGCCCGTGGCCGGTAGTAACCAGTCGCAAAAGGGCCAAGGCCCATCCACGTTTGAGGAGATGGGTATTCCCCAGGGCAAGAACGAGTCCGACTGTGTAAGTTCATTCTGTTTTGCCTTGGCGGTTTACGAGCGGGATGCTAACAGGGCCATGAATCACAGGTTGTCATGTGAGGGAGCCATGCACAGGAAAAGGGCAAGACGAGGAGGCGTGAAGAATTCCCCGACACAAGAAAAAGAAAACCCAAGAAAGATACATGCATGTACAGAAAAAAATAGGGCAAGATGGTGCAAGATTTTTTGCATGGTGGGAGGGAAGCGAGCGGTTTGTTTTGGTATTTTTAGACTTGTTTTTCGATACCTCGGTGTCCACCCTCCCTGTTTGGCTTTTCGTGCACGTCGACAGGCACATTGTTCTGGGGTCATGGTTTGGGCCTTGGAGGCGAGTTTGAGGAACATAGTTTTGATTTAATTGTCGTCTTGTTTGTTCTTGTCACATTTTGTTCAGAGTACATGAAGGTTGCTTGACTGTGGATGAATGTTTTTTATGGTTGGCGTGCCACGATACCCTTTTCCGCCTCTAGAGCATATTGCCATATCCACGACTATGTCGTATACAGAAGAGCTCATGACGCTCCGAGCCAAACCAGCCACCTGCCTCGCAGACTTTGTGATAGCATCGAGGGAGCGCCACGGAAAATGCTATCATGACTTGTGGCGAAAGGATGTCCGGAGATGAGGTCCTCCTCCTGCTACTTATTGCTGCTGGCTCTCTCTCTCTCTCTCTCACTCTCCCGTATTGGGTCTTTCCAAGTCGTGTGGCAAAACAACCAAGACTGAAAAAAAAAAAAAAAAGAAAACATGGCCAACTTTGGGGGCATCACCACTTCGGTCCTGACGGGGGCCTACGTCGCCCACATGACGGGCATCTCGACGCTGGCTCTGGCCCAGCAGCCCAGGCCGGTCTCCCTCCCCAACCACGAGGCGTGCACGCGCTGGCACCGGGCCCAGCCGGGCGACAGCTGCGCCTCGGTGCAGCAGGGCGCCGGCCTGACGGCGGCCCAGCTCGGCGACCTCAACGCCGACGTCGCCAAGCTGTGCGGGGGCGGCGGCGCCGAGCTCACGCCGGGCGCCTGGCTGTGCCTCGCCTCGGCGCCCAGGGCGAAGAAGAAGACGTGGTGGCAGATGACGCCGCAGGAGCGCATCGACAAGTTTGGCCCGCGCATCCTGCAGAGCCCGTCTTCGTCTTCGTCGTCGTCCAGCACATCGTCGCCAACCGCCGTCACCTCACCCGTGACCCACGTCGTCGTCTCCTACCCGGCGCTCGACGTGGCCGAGCATGCTGCCCCTGCCGACGACGTCGAGGAGCGGGACGAGCCCACCACGACCACCCAGACGCTCGAGTCGCACCACCACCCCGCGCCCCTGCCGCCGTCCACCCTAACGTCGGTCCCCAGGATGCGCAGGCCGTGGTTCGCGATGCCGAAGCCGCGGCTTACGGCAGCGGCGGCGGCGGTCGTGGACCTCGCCACCACGACGGTGACGCGCACATACACTGGCACGGCGCCCCCCTTTACAGGACCCGGCGACGGCGCCACGGCGTGGCCCAGCAGCTTCAGCTCGGTGCCGGCTGACCAGCAGCCTGGCAAGACGGCGCTGCCCATCAACTCGACAACCACGTCCACCGTCGTCACCATGGTCGACACGCTCACGTCCTTTGTGCCCGTCATGGCCACCGCCACCACCAACACCACCGTCTCGCCGCTGCACACCGTCTGGCGCCGCAACGACCGCCGCCGGCAACAGGCCACCCCCACCCCCACCCCCCAGCCCGACGGCGACGACAGCGACAACAACGAGCCCGACACCCACCTCCTTCCGCCCGACCAGGCCGCCCGCTGCGCCCGCCGCGAGCCCACCGTCGACCGCTGCCTCGCGGCCCTCAACGGCGCCGAGGCGGCCATGCTGCGTTTTGCGGCTGGTACACGGACCCGGCGCGCCCGCCGCAGTCGCAGACGGCCATCTTGCAGTTTGCCGCCCCGGCCGTGCGGCATCAGCAGCTGGAGGAGGAGGAGGGGGAGGGGGACAAGTCCGACACGCCGCCGCCGCCGCCGCCGCCCCTGCTCCCCCGCCCCGCCGCCATCGAGCACGCCTGCGCCCGCGCCACCATCGCCCCCATCGTGCTGTTGCCGCCCTCTGCCGGCGGCAGCGGCGCTGCTGATGATAATGATGATGTTGTTGCTGCTGCTGCTCTAGCCGTCATCACCGCGTCCCCGGCCACCACCACCATGCGCCCGCCCCACGTCTACCTCAGCTCGGCGTGCTCGTGCCTGGGCCACTTTGACCGCAGCCGCCGCGTGCTGGCCGCCGCCGCCGCCGCCGCCGCCGACGACGTGTCCGAGCCCTCGTCCGACACCGACGCCGACAAGACGGAAGCGCCGCCGCCGCCGCCGCCGCCGCCGCACCACGACCTCGTCCGCCGCCGCATGGGGGGCGAGTGGGTCTCTTGGATGCTCAACGAGGTGGCCAAGACGGCCACGCGCGGCTACTACGGCTTCCAGCCGCCGCGCACCGCCGCCGACGAGCCCTGGCGCGCCCCCGCCACGCCGCCCCCCGGCGCCATCCACGTCAACGACGCCCCGCGCCCGCCGCTGACGACGGGGAGGCCGTGACGTGGGTGTTTTGGGGAGGGGTGGACTTGACGGACAGACTTTTTCGGGTAGTTTATTTTTGTTTGTTTAATGTCAGAAAGTAATTTTTATTTTTCTCAGTTTCATTGCTATCCGTATACGTAAAAAGAATTGCCCACCGCATTCACAACTCTACACACCACACCACCCAGCCGCCGGCCTCCCCCGCTCCCTCCTGACGGCCCACCCCTTGAGGGCCATGACGGCGACGACCCAGGCCATGAGCAGGGCCACCAGGCCCATGGTGACGGTGTAAATGAACATGGCGTCCAGCTCCTGGTTGACCATTGCTGCGACCGTGTCTCCGCTCTGTTTTCCGATACAAGTCAGCCAAGTCAGTCAGTCAGTCAGTCAGTCAAGCGTAGGTCAAAAAGGGGGCAAACAACAAAAAACCCACGCTGGCCATAAAGACGATGCCGCCCGCGCTCAGCCCAAACGCCGCCAGCAGCTCCGTGGGCGGGCGCGACGGCAGCACCGACGGCGGCGGCCTCAGGTACAGCAGCACGTAGGTGAGCGCCCGGGCCAGCGCCGCGCCCGTCAGCAGCGTGCCCCACTGCTTGTGAACCATGCCGGCCACGGCGCTGCCCTGCGTGTGCGAGCTCATCATGACGCCTAGCAGTAGGATCACGAGCGCAGGGATGGGGTTGAGCGAGACGCCGCTGCTGTGCGTTGGCGTTGGCTGTTTCAGATGCCTGTCGTCGTCGTCGTCGTCGTCGTCGTCGTCGTCGTCGTCGTCTCCTCCCGCCGCCGCCGCCGCCTCGACGACGGACGTGTTCAGCAGGTCCCGCACCGCCGCCGACTCGACCAGCATGCCGCACAGCCCGCCACCGATAAAGAGCACCGTGATGGCCACGTGCTCCAAATCTTGCGCGCTCCACTTACTACTGCTGCTGCCGTCTCCACCCAAGTGCTCGAGGAAGATGTTGGTCGACCCGTAAAAGAAGATGAGTCCGCTCTCGACAAACTCGGCCGACGGGCACCACCACGACCGCTGCTGCTTTCCCCTGCCGCCGCCGCCGCCGCCCTCAGGCCGCAGGTTCCACGCCCAGCCCAGGTCGGCAAACGCGCCGGCCCAGCGGCCCAGCGTCACGAGCCCCAGCCAGAAGAAGACGCCGCCCTTGATCCAGTGCGCGAGCCCGCTGAGGATCTCGGGGCCCTCGAACAGCCGCCCGTGCGCGGCGACGCCGGTGCTGAGCGCGACGAAGCCGAGCGGCAGGATGGCGCGGTCGACGGCGTCGTAGGCCAAGATGACCAGGACCCGCCATGCCCGTGCCCCTGATGATGACATGGCGGCGGCTGTTGCGCGCTTGGCGGTGCGGTAGATTCGTCCCGCCGCGCTGCTGCTGCCAAGGGCTGCTGTATCGAGGCCTGTCTCGTCGCCGTCTTGGTCGTCGTCGTAGCTGTAGCCGTCGTCCTTGCCGCGCCGCAGCAATAGTCCTTCCTTCAGTGCTGCGTCGTCATCGTGGCGGTGGCGGTGTAATGTTGACGACGACGACGACGAAAAGGTAGGACTACGCAGCGACTCGGCGCCATCCCCGCTGTCGCCGAAGAGACGGTACGGGCTGTGCATCTCGGCCCCCTTTATAAATGGCGCCGGCTGCTGCTGCTGCTGTCTATGATGCGCCGCCATGGCCGCGGCCGAGACGGGTGTGGCGAGCCCGTGGACGTCCCCGCCGCCCCCGGACTTGCCCCTCGTCAACACCCCGGCCAGCAGCCGGCCCAGCGCGCCAACAGCAACCTGGGCGCACAGCGCGGCCGTCAATGCCCAGCCGAGCCCGTGGTGGGCGTTACCCGGGTACAGGTCCGGCGTGCCGTCGTTGTAGACGGTGCCCAGCACCAGGCCGGCGCCGTTGACGGCCGCGAAGATGAGCTGCACCACGAGTGCGTGCCGGGACCTGGCGATGGAGAACATGACAGCTGGAGAGGGGTGGGGTTAGGTTAGGACTGACAGCTACGGTTTTGGATAGTGTGTGTCACTTACCGACCGGCAGCACAAACACCCAGGCTACGACCATGACGGCTATGTGGGCGTACAGGACCCCCTGCAGCTCGGGGTGGGAGAAGTAGCTTTCGGGGTATGCGGCATGGCTGGGAGTGGCTGCTCCTTCGCCGTGGCCATGACCGTGGCCGTGGCCCATATCCATCTCCATGTCTCGCCCTCTCATGCCCTCGCCGGCGCCGTGGGCCAGCGCAGCTGTGGCGAGGGTCAGTAGTGAAATGGCCAACGCGAGCGGTTTCATCCTGTTCTTCATCCTTGCGCCGTCTCTTGTGTGGGGGTTTAGACAGGGAATATCAAGGGAAAAGGGGAAGGAGTGCAACCAAGTCACAAAACAGGGAGGAGGGCATGTCATGGCCAAAATGATATGTATTTGGGGCTTGGATATCCTCCGGCATCGCCAATAATTAATAATTCCGCGTATCCGCCGTATTGTCCATAGAAACCCACCGTAGCAGCGTCCCGACATGATGCCACCCACCTTCAGTCAGGCCACATGAAATCGGCCAGGTATCGAGCCGAGTGCGGGTGCTCTACCCTTTAGCCAGCTAGCCCATACCAAGGTACCAGTACAGCCGGTGGGTGTGGTATTGGTAATCACCCAAACTAGCGATCATGGCGCCAGTGCGTGTGCGTGACTCTTCTGGCCTCGGACGCCGGAGCTTCCGGCGACGACGAGGGGTGGGGGGCCCGGAGGTCACGATGGGTTCAGAAGACCAGTCCCCGCAGCTTGGGCGTGCTCGGCACTTGCGACCGGGCGCTGCAGCAAGGGTTTGGCGATCTGGGAGAGCAATCGAGCGTTTGATTCCAGGTAGCGATTAGCATGCATATGGGCTGCTGCCACTACCACTTAGACGCTGCATGCCCTTGGCAATTGCCCCGCTGCCACCCTCCATCAGGGCTGGATTGGGTCCATGTATGTCGTCTGTCAGCCCGGCCTGTAGAAGCCCCGTTGGTAAAGCTTGAGTTTTGTCTTGACTTTTGTTCAGTCTCTGCCCTCCCTGGCCCTCACCGCCCCCGGAGATAACAGCTCGGGGCATTCCGGGTCCCGAATTCGGGTCCCAAACTTCACGCGCCAGCGTAAGCAGCAGTCATGTGCATATATCATGTACATGTACTTGACTAGCCACGCCCACCTCACAGCTTATAAGAAAACGCACGGTCCCAACCTGCCATCCGAAGCTTCCGGAGGTGTTGGGCTAGAACGACGTGGCAGAGGGAATCGCCCCGACGTCCCGTCAATGAGGACGCTCAATGCCTTACAAACAAGCATGTCATTCAACATGCGGGCAAGTCTCACAATGTCGACCTTGCTTTCAGCCTCCACACATCCCCCTCCCCCTCCCCCTGCCCCACCACCTTGTCCTCGCCCTGTAGCTTTGCCAGGATCTGCAGGACGCCACGTTCGGCCGCCGGGTGCAAATCCTCGCGCACGTCGCTGTAGATGATCTTGACCAGATCCATGGCCGTCATGCCTGTCCCGTCACCAGCTGTTGCTGCTGCTGCTGCCGCTGCTGCCTCTGCCTCCCGCAGAGTCTCCAGCACCTGGTCCTCGCGCTGCTGCCGGTGCGCAATGTACTCGGCTATGCGGTCCGGCCCCTTCTCGACCACGGCGCCGTGGCCCGGGTAGACGCGCCCGCCGAAGAGCGGCTGCAGCCGGCGCAGGCTCGCGACGTAGGCGGCCAGGTCCTCGAACACGGCCGTGCCGTGGCCCAGCACGCAGTCGGCCGTGAGGCACGCGTCCTCCTCGGCCAGCAGCAGCGCCACGTGGTCCGACGTGTGGCCGGGTGTGTGCACCGCCGTCAGCGTGGCGCCCTCGGTCCGGAAGACATGCCCGTCGGCTATATCTAGCTGGGTCTGGTGGTCGGCGCCGGCTAAAACGTCACGGACGGCATCGAGGGAGGCGTCGCCCCAGCGGCGGTGGCTCTTGTAGACCCGGGCGGCGGCGGTGCGGGGGTCCGCGGCCAGGTCGGGCACGCCGCCGACGTGGTCGTGGTGCCAGTGGGTCAGCACCACGTCGGACACGGTGGCGTCCTCGTCGAGCAGCACGCGGCGCAGGGCGGCGGCCCACGACGGCCGGCCCTCTCCCGTGTCGACCAGCAGGCGCGAGCGGCCGGTGCCCAGCAGGTACGTGTTGGTCCCCTGCAGCGTGAACTTGCCGGGGTTGCCACCCAGGATGCGGATGCAGCTCGCGCTCAGTCGCTCGACCTCGGGCAGCTGGACGGGCGGGCTGGCGGCCATTTTGACCAGGCGCGACCAGGAAAGGCCTGTGCGAGGGTGGAAGCGTGCCAACGTGAAGGATAATGACGAGAGGGCGTGTATAAAATATAAATAGAAAATATAAATAGAACAGATGTTAGATAGACCAAGTTATGGTCGGCCCCTGCATGTTCCCAGTCGTACAGCTGGCATCACATGTACCATACAAGACGCAATACAAGATGTGCCCTTTGTCAGGGGCACGCCATCAGCGTCAGCGACGGGCATCAACTGTGTAAAGGGCCGAGGCCAAGGGACCGAGGTGTGCCACTCTGAGGGGAAAAGGGTGTGTGGGGCGTGTTGCCGAGGATGGGTCTTGGCGTTCTGTCAGCGGGTCTGGCGGGAGCGATAAGCGCGGGATCAGGTGGCGATAAGAAATTTCCCAATGGGTCCATCCCGTCCCGTTCAAATGTTCAATGCGCCGCGCGAGTCCAACAGCTAAGCTGAGCTGGAGCGGGCGTCAGGAGAAAGCGAGGTGCAAGCACGAGAAGCAAAACCCACATCGCATATTGCATTGTATTGCTGCTGCTCTCGTGACTCGCTCGAGCTGTCATTACCTCCTTCCTCCCAGCCCGAAAACGCAAAACAACGCCGCTGACCAGTCCAGCTCTGCCGCCAGCCCTGCCGCCAGCCCTGCCACCAGCTCCAGGCTCCAACACCCAGCCTCGCTCTTGCCTACCTCGCTCTCGGATCTAGAGCTCGACTCCTACCTCAGCCCTCAGCCTTGTCCAAGCCGAGCACTGCTGCGCCTCTGGCCGACACCACCAGCTACCGCCCTCTAGCTATACTCCTTCCAACCGAGCCACCAACCACAGACCTCGCCGTCGCAAACATCGCTGCCGCCCACGCGAGCAGCCGCGCCTGGCGCCAGCAACCACGCCAACATGGCGGCGCGAGCGACGTCACCGGCGTCTCCAAAGTCCACCACCACAAAACCCCCTGTACCAGGCACTCCCGCCTTTGGCTGTGGTCCGTCTGCCTCCTGCTCTCCTGCCCCTGTCCGCCAATCTTTGCACCGCTAACTCGTATCCATGCGACCCCCAGAACACATCCAACTGCTCGTGACCAAGAGCCCCGAGAGCCTGCAGACCTCCATCACCCACTACAAGGCCATCCTGCGCAAGATTTTCGACAACACCCCCATCGTCCCCCAGACCTCGACCGGCCCCAACGGCCAGGCCATCACGTCCCTGACCTCCAACTACCTGTGTCTGCAATGCCCTGCCACCGTCACCGAGGACGACCGGCTGAAGCATGGCAACAAAAAGCAACACCGTTTCTGTAGGTGACTTTTCCAGCACTGCCTTTTGTCTATCAGTGTTCTGTCTATCAGTTTTCTGTCTATCAGTGCTGACTTGTTGACGAAATCACAGTCGCCGACTCTCGCAACGGCTCACTGTACTGTCAGATATGCGACGATTTGGTGTGGGACCCAACCCTTGAGGAGTTGAGGTTACGAAAGATCGGAACTGGCTCCTTTTCAAGTAAGGCGACATGCCCCTTTGGATGCCCCTTTGGATGCCCCTTTGGTCGTGTCAACCCCCAGCCCAGCACTAACAACTCAACAGCGACCCGCAAGAGGAAACACGACGAGCTTTTTTCAGACTCCAAGGATGACCCCAGGTATATATCGGTAAACACCACCATGGCCTCGTGTAGAGCGACGGGGCTGCGTGGCATCTACAACGCGGGTGCTACCTGCTACCAAAACGTCATCCTGCAGACCTTTCTGCACAACCCCATGCTACGCAACTTCTACCTGAGCGATGGCCACCGCAGCTCCGACTGCGGCGTCTCGTACTGCCTCAGCTGCGCCATGGACGAGATCTTCCAGGACTTTTACGCGCTCGAGAGCACTAACGGTTACACGGCGGCCAATATCCTGTCGGGCTTCTGGATCTCGGAGCGCAAGGCGTTTGAGAACCTGGTGACTACCAAGGAGCAGGACGCCCACGAGTTCTTCCAGTTCCTCGCAGAGGAGCTGCACGAGCGCAACGGCGATGGCAAGCGGCCCGAAATTGGCTCCGAGCACAGCTGCAACTGCATCGTCCACCAGACCTTCTACGGCAAGCTGCAGAGCACCACCACGTGCCAGGCCTGCCACGGCGTCACCAACCAGGTCCAGTCCTTCCTGGACCTGAGCCTGGGGCTGGAAAACCTGGCCCAGAGGCGAAAAAAGGCCGGCAGCAGCAGCGCCGCCAAGGCGGGCGTGCTCACGCTGCAGGACTGCCTTGACGACGAGTATGTCAAGTCGGACAAGTGCGAGTACCGGTGCCACAGCTGCAACTCGACCCAGCAGGCGAGGCGCCACACTAGCATTAAGAGGCTACCCAACGTCTTGTCGATCCAGCTAAAGGTGAGCTACCCTCTTGCCCGTCTCGAGTATGCATATGAGTATACATATGAGTACATATGAGTATACATACGAGTATGCATATGCTTACCACGGATCTACAACACCCCCGCAGCGCTTCGAGTACAAGGGGGGCCGGCACGACAAGGCGGCAAAGGTTGAGACGCCGGTGCAGTTCCCGCTGTCGCTCAACATGTTCCCCTACACCAACCGGGGCCGGAGCGGAGATTCCAAGGAGAACTACGAGCTGGCCAGGTCGTGCACCTACGACCTCCTTGGTGTGGTGGTTCACGTCGGCGAGATCGACACGGGTCACTACACGTCATATTGTAGAGTCGGCGACCAGGTACGTGCAAAACAGCACCCGAATCCGTCATGGCCACCACCTGACTAACCAAGACCCAACAGTGGTTCGTCTTCAACGACCACAAGGTCGAGATGGCCGCAAAGTCGGACGTCCTCTCGGCCAAGGCGTACCTTCTCTTTTATATCATCCGTTCCTTGGCTTGAGCAGAAGCCTTGGTAAGAGGTGACCATCCAGACTCACTGCCTGCCGGCCGGGGACCCAGACCACCAGCAGCCGACGACGGTCTAGACGCCCTATTTGTTTGGCGCATGTATTTCCCACCATTTCCCGAATCGGGTAAACTACACCTGGCACGAGTGACACGTGTTGCTCGGGCATCTGTCTCAGCGTTGGGACATGGATATATTCCAAGTCCGTATCTCCTTTGCCTGTTTTTCCTCCCCTCGCATAGGCAACATAGGCGAGCGGCACTTTTTTAGCTGGGAAGCCGGCTTTAGAACAGGACAGACACGTGCATGACAGGCGTTTGCATAAGGACTTGTTTATAGGCGCACGACTGGAGAACCGACAAGAGGACAAGAATAGACATGATGTATATCTACGATGTATATCTAGCGTGTATTGAGGCATTTATCGACCGACTGTCTGGGTAGCAGATGAACGGACAAACAAAACCGCGGCACCCACCCGCCTGAGCTCAAGCCGTCGTCCCTGCGTTGTCGTCGTCGTCGTCGCCGCGCCAGTCCCACGCTGCGCACTCAAAGTTGGTGTAGCAGCAGAACTCGTTGCTCAGCTTGTTGGCGTGCTCGGGCTGGAACGTAGTGGTGCGCAGCCCGCCGACGGACCCGTACAGCCGCGACGTCACTAGCTCGCCCATGCGCTCACCCGTGCAGAGCACGACGCGCGCGGCCGGGGAGGGGGAGTCTGGGGGCTGGGGGCGAGCTAGCCACTGGACCGTCGTTGCTTCTGTTTTCCATCTTTGGTTTCAGCGGCTTCGATAATATCCAACTAAATCCCACCGAGGCGTGTTTTTGTTTCCGTACCTTTGGTCTGGCAGTCCTCGTTCAGGAACGGAGGGTCGCAGGCGATGCGATCGCAGGCTCCTTTGAGGCGGTCTTTTTTTTTTTTTTCGTATTTCTTATTAGCTGAGGAATGAGAGAAGGAGCAAAAGGAGGTGGTGAAGTCTGACCCTCAACATACCTGGCAGCTTCAGCGGCTGGTTGCAGTCGTAAAACACAAACTCGGGGAACACGGCGAACCGCCTGTCGTGCTCCAGCAGCACCAGCCGCGGCCTGGGCTCGCCGTCCCCTCTCTCCGCCTGGGCAGGTTTTTTTTTCATGTCTCGTGTCAGGAACACGGTCCTTCATACAAACAACTAGTACAATCAGAAGTTCACAAAAAAAAAAAAAAAGAACAAACCAGCATGTTCTTGAGCGCCACAAACACGCTCGGCGCCGACACGGCCGCGACGACAGAGCCCCCGTCGGCGCCGTCCAGCAGGCTCTCGGCGACGGCGCGCGCCGTGCCGTCCGAGTACCAGAACTGCGACTCCTGCCAGTCCTCGCCAAAGTCGGCGATGCTCAGGGTTTTTTTGCTGCGGCCGCCGCTGCTCCCCTCCTGCCTCTCGGCCTCGCCCAAGAGGTCCTCGAACTTGGCCTCGAGCGCGTCCCGGTCCGCGTAAAAGGACTTGAGGGCGTCGAGGGCGTGGGACGAGAGGGCGCTGCTGGGGTGTTAGTCTATGTGTGGGTAGCATGTCATGGACTCTTTTGTCAGGGATGATGCGCTTACATGGGCTCATCGTCAAAGTCTTCGCTGAGCCCCATGGTCTTTGTATAAGAAGGGAGTCTATCTGAGTGTATAAGTGGAGGCCATCAAGAGCTGGCTGCTCACTGTATCGCGTGTTGGGTCAATGAGATCAAAAGCCGTCAAAAATGAGAAGAGAGCGACAGAAAAAGAAAAAAGAAAAAGAAAACATCGGAACTCCCAAAGCGAGGGCATCCCTCCGCCTGCCGTTCCGCTTACGGCACGGTATACTAAGATGGGGGTTTCCATTACTCAAAAACAAGATATCTGGTGGATCCCCTGGCTGGGCCCCATTCGCAGCCAAGTTTCCAGCCGACGAACAGACCCGAGGCCAAGAGGAATCGGTGTGCTGGATACAGGGCTACCTTGCCTCCATTAGTAGATTCGATATGTCATACAGGGGTGAATAGATAGTGAACAGAATCAACATGTCATAACGGGTAACCAATAAAATATGTTTTTTTTGTCTTGACTTGAAACGCTAGTCAGCTAGCCGCAGGAAATATTTACACTCTAGGTAGCAAGCGCCAATATGCGACGGCCCGCCTCACTCGTCCAGCACGTGGATGTACTTCTTCTCTTCCCTCTTCTCCTTCTCCGTCGCGGGCGGGAGGTCGTAAAAGGACGAGCTCCGGAACCCCTGCAGGTAGTGGTACGTGAACTTGCTGATGTCGCCCGGCTCTATGCCTAGGTCGGCAAACGTCTTGGCCGTCTCGTCGATCTCCTGGTCGATGAACTCGCGCTCGATCTCGTCGGCCGACATGACGTCCCACCACAGCACGCGGTTGAGCAGCGCCGCCACGGGCTTGAGGATCGCCTTGGGCACGTTGACGTGGCGCCGCTTCTTGAAGATCTCGCGGTCCACCATCTCGGCGATCTCGGCCATCGAGTAGTTCTTGGGGCCGTGCAGCTCGTACGTCTGCGAGGCCGTGGAATCGTCGTACAGCATCTTTTCGAGCGCCCTGCCGACGTCGATCGAGTGGACGGGCCAGAAGCGCTCCTGCATGTTGTTGGCCGTGAAGAGGTTGAGGACGCTCGCGAGCTTGAGCAGCAGCCGGTCCTCAAAACCGAAAATGGGCGCGGGGCGCACGATGGTGGTCTCGGGGAAGATGCTGCGCACTACCTGCTCGCCGCGCGCCTTGGTGCGGAAGAACTCGGAGGGGGAGTCGAGGTTGGCGTTGTACGACGACATGTGGATGAAGCGGTCGACGTCGTACTTGGCCACGGCCTCGGCGATGCGCTCGGCGCCCTCGACGTGGACATCCTCGAGGGAGAAGTTCCTGGTGTGGTCAGCATGCGCTGCTGTTGAGGCGGAGGTTGTTATCCTCCAAGATGTCGTCCCGGCACGTACTTTGTAGGGTAATTCCGTCCAACTAGGTTGTAGACAACGTCGGAATGCCTCACGCTCTCCTCAATGGATGCCGTGTTGCGCAGGTCGTACTCCTATAGTGATGGTGAGCAGGGGACTGTGGCGGGGGATGGCGCATAGATGGCGCATAGGGAGGACGCACGATAAAGACCACCCTGCCCAGGTCGCCGGCAACCTTGAGGTGGCGCTTGGCCATCTCCTCTCGGAAGGGGACGACGACGGTGCATCCTTGTCGCGCTGTGTAGAAGCGAGGCCCTGGTCAGAGACGGCTGCTAGGCTCTGCCGGGCTGTCGGAGTAGAAGCAACGGACCTAGCCTGTTGACAATGTAGCGGCCGACCTGGCCGGTGGCGCCAAAGACGGTGGCCGTGTGCCCGCCGAGCGACGAGCGGCCGCCCTGGGTGCGGATAATAGGCTTGCCGGTACGGGTAATGGCTACGTCGGAAAGGTTTCGGCGGCGCACGACGCTCTGGGCGAGGCGCCCCGTGGACCGCACTGCGGTCGGGAAGGACGACATGGTTGCCTGCCGGTCCAATTGAGGCGGTTGTATGTAGCCCTGAGCTTGGGCTCTCGCGTCGTCGTTGGCAGGCCTCGTCGTGAAGTCGAGAAGGGCGCTTTTCAATGGCTGTGATCTCACTCGCTGGGCCTTGTCGGCTGGGTCACGTGGGGCAGCTCTGGACTTATCGCTATCTGTGGCTGAGGTTGTGCACGCTGTGGCGGCGGGGCAGAGCTGGAGCTAGGCTGCCAGCCGCGTCAAGCTGCCCGCAATTGAGCCGAGTGGTAGATACCTACTGTACACGAACACGGTCCAGGCGGCGGGCGGCCGACTTGCATCACCAACCACGACCAACCTCCAGCACAGCACAGATCCCAGCCAAACATCACAAACCTCGCCAGCTCGGCTCAGCCAGACGACAAGCAGCGAACTGCCACACACCCACCACATAGGCGCAGGCGACCACCACCGCCACCATGAGCGCCGACGAGACGGCCGAGTTCCTCTCCACCATGAGGGAGAGGGCGCCCGAGGACCTGCAGGGTCTGATCCTGCAGTTTGAGGACTACTGGGAGAGGAAGCTGTGGCACCAGCTGACCGACGCCATGATCGAGTTCTTCAACACGCCCTCAAGCGCCCCCGCCCGCCTCGTCTTCTACAAGACGTTTGTGCTCAAGTTCGCCGACAAAATCAACCAGCTTAAGCTTGTCGACCTGGCCCTCAAGGCCGCCTCGCAGATCAAAGCGCCCAAGGAGCGCCTGGCCTTCCTCGAGACGGCCGCCGCAAAGGTCGACCACGAGGACTCGCAGGACGCCTTCGTCTTCGCCACCATCGCCGTGGCCCGCGTCAAGCTCGACCTCAAGGACGCCGACGGCGCCCGCACCGACTTGGACCGCGCCGAGAGGATACTGGACCGCTTCGATAGCGTCGAAGCGGTTGTGCACGCCGCCTTCTACGGCGCCCAGGCCGACTACTACCAGGCCACGGCCGATTTTGCCCAGTACTACCGCAACGCCCTGCTGTACCTGGCCTGCATCGACGTGGCCGCCCTGACCCCCGCCGAGCGCCGGTCGCGCGCCTACGACCTAGCCGTCGCCGCCCTCGTCTCCACCTCCATTTACAACTTTGGAGAGCTGCTGCTGCACCCCATCCTAGACGCCCTTGCCCTCCCCGCGTCCGACGACGGCGCTGGCCCGGACGCGTGGCTGCGCGACCTGCTCTTCGCCTTCAACCGTGGCGACCTGGCCGCCTATGACGTGCTGTCGGGCCACATTGGCGGCAACCCGCTGCTGTCCAAGCACCGCGCCCAGCTGCGCCAGAAGATCTACCTGGCCGCCCTGACCGAGGCCGTGTTCCGCCGCCCCCCTCACGACCGCCACATGACCTTTGATGCCATCGCCCAGGAGACGCGCGTGCAGCCTGACGAGATCGAGCACCTGGTTATGAAGGCCCTTAGTTTGGGCCTGCTGCGCGGCTCCATCGACCAGGTCGACGCCATCGCCCATATCGACTGGGTCCAGCCAAAGGTGCTGGATATGAAGCAGATCGACAATATGCGCCTGCGCCTTAAGGACTGGGACTCGAGCGTCAACCAGCTCGGCCACTGGATCGAGGCCGTGGGGCAGGACGTGTGGGCCGCGTGAGGGGGGGAGGGAGAGGGATGGATGCCATGGATGGCTCTCGCACCATGTATCATAGCTACCTGCCTTTTAGACGTGATGGAATCCCACCAAAACGCAGGTAATATCAGGGTGTTCATCATGCCGATTTTATCCGCGAAAAGCGGATATATTGCGCGTGGTTCCAACGGGTGCGAGTATTGGTGTATCCCGCCAGGTGCCGTCAACGTGCCGACCTTTTAAACGGACAATTAACTTGTGCCTTGGCAATTTTAAGGGTACGGGTTTAGCCTTCATTTTGCCAGCGCTGCTTGTACAGCGCTGCTTGTACATCCATTTCTATTCCTGGTACGTTAACGGGCATTTGGATACATCACAGTCAGCCCTTTGTATATTATAGAACACGCCCATTTGGTTGGCGTTTCTAGTCCCACACACAACGTCCTGGCCCAAATACTATTTATTCTCCTTAAGCCCAGGTCCTCCCCTCAGCACCACACACGAGGCCAGCCAGGCGGGCCACCAGACGCACCACACGACGAGCGGCGTATATGTGCCCCAGACGTTCCAGGCAAAGGCGGCGTCGCGCAGGACGCGGCCGAGGTCCAGGTCCCAGGCGACGCAGCACGCAACAACGACGGCGGGGACCGAGATGAGCAGCTGCAGGTGCAGACGAACCCCGTAGCCGCGCGGCGAGGTCGCGGGCCAGGGGCGGAAGAAGGACAAGGGCGCGCAGAGGAGGGCGAGCCAGAAGGCGAGCGAGAAGTTGAGGGTGGCGAGGCAGGCGACGAACATGCCGAGCAGCAGGAGGGAGAAGGCGTGGATCAGGTGGTACTGCTGCAGCGTGAGGCGGTACCTGTACGTCAGGAGGTGCGAGGCCAGGAGCGGGAAGGCCGTGTTGAAGGCGGCGAAGAAGGCGGCCAAGGGGACGAGGAGCTGGAGTGGGCGAGCGGTTAGCTATGACACACCACGCCGGAAAGGTAGGAAGGGAATGACTGATGACTTACCCCGGCGGGGACATGGTTAAAGAGATACAGAGGGATGAAGCCCAGGAAGTGGCAGAATGCCACGAAGCATAAGGGCGCCAGGAGGTCACGCTCGACCGGCTTTGCGTCGGGAGAGGACACCGTCTTGTCCTTGGTCTTCTCGCCCTCGCCCTCACCCTCACCCTCGACCCCGCCCCCGGTCTGGCCGGCCTTGGAGAACAGGTACAGAGCCATGATGGTAAAGTTTGCGGCCATCAGCATGACGCTGGGCAGATACGTGCCGATGCTCACAAAGCGCTCGCGGTGCATGAGCAGGTAAAAGAAGAAGCTCTGGTGCAGGTGCTCGAGCAGGTTGTTGAGCGACCGGAAGGTGCCCTCGACGACGCGGCCGAGCGCCATCTCGTCCTGCCAGCCGTCGCCGTGGGGCGCGAGCGTGACGGCGTCGACATGGTAGGGCATGAAGCACGAGTGGGCGCCCGTCGAGGCGCCCAGGCCCTGGCGCAGCATGCCGCGTAGCATGGTGCGCAGCCGGTCGGCGTAGCCGTCGCCGCCGCCCCACCACATCTCCTGCAGCGACACGCCCATGCCCATCTGGCCGCCCGCGATGTTGACGACGCTGTTGATCAGGTCCAGGTTGGGCAGCTGCCCGTTGACGCCGTCGTAGACGACGTGCACGCTCTCGTAGCGGCCTTCGCGCGCGTAGTCGAGCGCCAGCGCCCCCTGCAGCGCGCCGCTCTTGAGCGGGAGCGAGGCCACGGCCGAGGCGTCGTGCGCGTCGTGGTACGCGTCCACCCACGCCTGCGGGCCCGCCAGCGAGTCGGGCGGGAGGAGGAATACGATGTCCTTGGACCACAGCGACCAGCGCCGGAAGTAGCGCGCCAGCGTCAGCGCGAGCGCCACGCCGTTGCGGTTCGGCTCGCCCGCGGGGTTGCGCCACGCCGCCACCAGCACGATGGCCTCGGTGGCGTCGCCGCGCGGGGCGCGCAGCAGCGCGTAGAGGTTCTCGCCCGAGTGTACGATGCCAGACGACGTGTAGGTGAAGTTCTGCCGCGCCGTCTTGAGCCCCACGTCGCCGAGGATGCTCTCGAGCTTGTCGTTTATTCTGGGAGCACCGTAGAGATTAGTTGGCCTTGTTCCTTCTCTACGTCATGGACCAGCGGGAAGCTCCCGGGCAACTCACTCAACATTGCTCTTGTCCAGCAGCCGGTCCACCTCGTGCTTGTAGGCGCGAAAGACGTTCTGGTCGCTGCCGGCAAAGTACGTGTGTACCTGCCCTGGCAGCAGCGCGTTCTCAGATATATAGGTGCGTCGGGACTGGCTGTCGAGCGGCAGGACGAGGAGCGAAGCGATGCCGACGACGATGCACAGCAGCGACAGGTAGGGCGGGAGCTTGAGGACACGCGGGTTCCGCCGCAGGCTGAGGAGCGAAGCTTGTGGGCAGAGAGACCAGGTTAGCATTCAGACAGAAAAACGATACGGGACAGACAAGACAACCTACACAATAAGCGCGGCATTGGAGCGAAATCCCCTTCCTCGGCCGCGTCTCTCTTTGCTGGATTCTCGACGAGGGTCTTGGCATGGAACCTGGAAACAGCCGCTAGAGCTGTGGGTGACGTTGCAAGCGGCAGGAGCTCCGTGCTTACCTAAACATGGGGCACCCCACATCGTCGCATCGTGGCGGGCGACGATGCCGGCATATTTCAGGGGTCCAAATTGATGATACACCCGACGCTACCACATGCTATCAGACGACCACCACATATTATATAGACAAGTACTCCCTATAGATACAGTCAAAGACAGAATCCGGGCATGAGCCCAATAGCACCAGCATGCAGCAAAGAGCCAACAACACCCTGGAATTCCACACAACCCCTGGACAACAACACACACCTCATAGTAACCCCTCAAGGCCCAAGACGCTGTGTCGACCCTACCAGCCCGATGGCAGGTCCGGACCCAGGGCTCGGCCCGCTCGACGGTAGCACTCCGAATCGCCCGTATGTCTTCTGATCGACACTGACATAGTGCGGGAGCCGACCCAGCAGGTTAAGCTTACCCTCCACGAACCTGAGCACCTTCTCGGGCGGCGAGAGGAATTTAAGGTATCCGAGACCACCTTGGGGAGCCCATCGTCAGTAAATCGTGTATAAAAACCGGCGGGTGACAAAACATACCGAGATATCCAACTCCCAGTCCGCACAGGTGCCCCAGCAGGCTGGTGCCAGGGACCAAGGCCGAAATCACCAGGCAGAGCACCAGCGGTGTCGTCCACGTCGGCACCTGATGCGTCGCAATGACCAAGTGGGGGTTCGTCCGGTAAGTCCGTATGGCCTCCATTCCGAGGAGCAGAAATACCCAGATGCTGTCCATCGCTTCGTCAGTACGGGGCCGGCGTAAAAAGCGCAAGTGACGTCGGGATCCCTCACCTGGCCCCCATGACTGCATTGTCGACTCGAAATATCGCCCTTTCAATAAAAACATAGAGGAGCGCCGGGATCGTAGAAAATGCTGGACGAGCAGATGCCACGGGCTGTTAGCGCAGGCACAGACGAGGCTTCCGCTGGGTTGGGGCACTCACGACCGATAAACAAGGCCACAGAGCTCAGGGTCCCGTATTCCGACTCGAACCTTTCCAGCAGCGGCGTGAGGGCGACGGCGTTCATGAGTGCGTGGAAGAGGCCCCTGTGCACAAAGACGAAAGTGTTTGTGCGGTAGACTATCCAAGGCATCGGGCGTGAGCTGTTAGCCATCGCGTGCGCATGCGACCTCGCCTGAAGATGCCAGGCTACGTACGGGTCTTGAGGTTGATCTCGCTGGGCTTGAGGGCGGCCCAGGCCTTGATATCCCATGCGCTCTGCAGACTAGCCACCCAGGCGAGCATCATGACCACACCGACGACTCTTGTGAAGAGCGGCAGCCGGAACACATAGGACCGCGCCCTGACCACGTTGAACCCGGCCATGTTGGGCTTGTAACTGAAGGGTGCTGCCCAAGTGGGCGCCCGCGCGTGGTGTCGGTGCTCGTGGCGGCGGTGGGAGGTCGAACGGGCGAAAGCACTCGGGTAACAGCCGACTAGGTGGTGACGTCTGGTTCCAGGTTCGGCCGAGACGGGATTGGCGCGGGCGGGCGAGTCGCAACGTTCGCAGGCGGGGGTTTTGCTGGACGTGGCGCTCGAGGCTGGGCTTAGCGGCAGCTGAAAAGGCGCACGCGCTTGTTCTTCTCGCGAGAGCCCGCAGGTCCAGGGCGGCGCATGGACAGAGAAGGGGCGCAAAGACAACCAGCAGACAAGATTCGGCGTGATTCCGTCCCATCAGGGTGGGACAAGGTTCGGCTCCCTCCCCTGTCTTAATTTCTACCCCGGACAGGGAGAGCCCGGCTGCTGCGTGGCCGTTTGATGCAGAGAAGATGATCCCTGGTCCGAATGACGCCTTATCGCTTATCGGCTCGGATCATGTAAGCATGGCTGCCATCAAGGGACCCACCGTCCCACGACATCAGGTCACTTTTCCTGGAATTCTTTAGCCGTTGAAGGGAAAACATCGCCTTCTACACCATGTCAGGCAGCCTGCATGAACTGTTGGTTCGCTAGAGCCTCAATGTGGCTGTGCTTGTATACGGCTCTTGAATGTTTGCCCGTGTCCAGAACCCCCAATATTATACCGTGATGCGTTCACTGCCAATTCAGGCAAGATATCTTGCGTCTACATAGATTCTCAGCGTCCCCCAACTACTGAGAGCTCATACATCAAATCCGCAAAACAAATAGCCCATCTCAGCAGCAACGTCAACATGGCAACCCTCTACTTCGCCTACGGCAGCAACCTCAGCCTGGCCCAAATGGCCCGCCGCTGTCCCGGCAGCAGGCTGCTGGGCACCGCCGTCCTGCCCGGCTTCCGCTGGCAGATCAACCAGCGCCACTACGCAAACGTCGTCGAGGCCAGCGGCGACCATCAAGGCGGCGTCGCCGGCCTGCTGTACGAGCTGGCCGGCCCCCGCGACGAGGCCGCGCTCGACAGGGCCGAGGGCGTCGCGATGCGCTGCTACGAAAAGAAGTACCACAGCGTCCTCTTCCGCGAGGCCCACCCGCTCCTTGCCCGTCGCGACGTCGCCGGGATCGTCAGCCAGGGGGGCCCTGCCGCCGTCCTGGTCGCGGCGGGTTCTGTACCCGGCGAGCAGGGCCCCACCGCCCCTTGCTGGGTTGACGGCGTCCTGGTGTATCTGAGCACCGACTACGTCGAGGAAGGCACCCCGTACGACGAGTACGTCGGCCGTCTGGGTCTGGGAATCACCGACTCGATCGCGTTGGGCGTCGACCCTGAATTCTTCAGGCGCTCTTTTGTACCTTATGCCTCGGAGCTGGAGAAGGAGATAGATGTAGCCGCGGCGACCCTTGCCAAGCCAGCTGAGCCCTAATCTCGTCGGCCCGCATCCCATGTACGAGGAGTGGAGAGTCATGGCACCGTGGCAGGGTGCCAAGTCATCAAAAACAAAACATACAACACCGAGGATTCCCTAGTAGCAGGGTTGGGAATTTAGTCCTTAGTCATTAGTCTTAGTCGTAACTAAATTAGTTTAGTTAGTTTTAGTTACTGGCTTAACTAACTAATAACTAACTAAATTTTTTTTGACTAACTAAAGTGACTAATTTAGTTATTTTTAGTTATTTTTTTTACGTAAAATTTGCATATTGTTACGACCCGGCAGCAAGCTGGCATCAGGTTACAGGAAGAGGCTTGGTGGAAAGCAGGAAGCGGGGTCGTTCCCTGGTTACGTAACCCAAGCAGGTAATATGTTGGGAATTAACATATCTGCTACGGCGCACACCTTATTGTTATAAAAAGGCTTTGTTGTTGCACGAAAAGGAAGCTATTTGGGCAAAGCGTCCTTGGCGTTTTGTCGCGGTTTTGTAAGCGTAACGTTGGCGCGCTAAAAATGCGGCCTTAGGTTTTTCCCCAAATGCTTTAACGCGTACCGTAACAATATTAATTAATATAAAGGATATAAACATATCTTACATATTAACCCTTTTAAAAGGAACGCGTAAAATATAAAAAGGAACGGTTTTTTATTGGTATAAGTAATTCTTAATTAAGGCTCCTGTAAGGAGGACTTAAGGGTGGAGTTTTTTGCTCGCGGAACTCCAAACGGCATAAAACTGAACTTTAATAATTATCAAAAGGTAAATTTAATTAAAATGTTGTATTTAAGTTTAAAAAGGAAGGAATTTTGCTAAAAAAAAAGGACGGATTCGATTTCCTTATATAAAAAAACAAAGGAGCTTTGGTTGCTTCGTGCACAAATTAAAAATTTGTGCATGGAATTCCTTTAAATCCCGTGCATGCGCTTAATTGGTAAGTTTTAACATTAACTATTTTTTTTTAAAGCGCATGCATGGTAAAAAAAAAGGAAATTTACGGTTTAAATGCGCAATAATAAATGATTTGCCAAATTTATAATTTGGTTAATATGTGGAAAAAAATGCTTGTTTAAATTGCTTCGCTGGATTTATATTATTGCTAAACAATAAACGTGGATAAAATTTTACGGAATTAAAGGAAATCCGGTTTCAAAGTTCCAGAATTATTAAATTAAAGGTTGGAAATTTCCGAAATTGTGGTAAATTAAATGGGAAATTTTTATGGTATTTAGGAATAGGTGCGTTAAAAGCAAAGGTAAAAGCGAACGAACAAAAGCAAATAAGCCTTTATTTAGCCCGTTAATTATTAATTTAATTATTTTAATTTTTTCCTTTTTTATTTTCGCTTTTTAAACTAATTTAATTAGTTACGTACACTCCGGAATCGTTATTTGCAGCTCGTGCGTTCGCTGTATCGTTGTTTCCCATTTTTCCTTATTTAATTCCGTGCTTTACACCTTTTTAACAGCATTATAAACTTTCCACCTAATTCGAACGCTTAAAATTTGCTCGACCACGCTCCGGAAAGCGCTATTTCGCTAACAAAAGCTTAAAATTAACAATTAATCGCTTGGGTCGCTCCAAAACAAAACTTTATAGCTTACCCTTAAATTATGCCTTTTCCCGTTAAAAAATTTAGCAAGCTTTTTTTGTTTCCGGCATTACAATTTATGCTTAAAAATTCGCCCGCGCTTGCTTTAGCTATTCCGGCCGCTTCCATTGGTTGCAAAAAAAGCGTATCGCTTTTAACAATAATTGTAATGGTTTTAATATTTGTAAGCGCGGTAAAAAAAGGGCTAATCAAGCAATAATTTGCTTTAATTGCTTTAATTCCGTGCTTTACGGCAAATTTAACGTTAAAAGCAATGTGCTTTAGCTTTGTATTAAAAAGTTAAGCTTTAATAGCAAACGTTATTAGCGTTATATTTTTGGTTATTCGTACAAGCTTATATAAGGATTTTTTTTTGCTTATTTCGCAATTTTTTGCGTTAATAATTGGTAATTTTCCAATTGCTTACTGTATTGCTATAAAAATTTTCGTTAAAGCGTTAAGCAACAAGCTTTACAATGCGGTATATTATTTTCATTTTATATATTTTATGCTTTACAATTTTGCTAACGTTACTTTTCCGATCGTAAATATTTTAAAAATAACGCATTATTACCAAATAATTTTTTAAATTTAATGCTAAGCAAGTTAATTTAAATGCTAATTTTGCAATTATAATTCCGGGTTAGCAATATTCGAAGCTGCGTTTTTTGGAATTTTTGGCAAAGGTTTTTTTGTTTAAAACGATAATGCGAATAACGAAAATAAAAATTGTAATAGCAATAATAATTAACTTTATTTTACAGCGTTTATAAAGCTTAAAAATCCCGTTACTGTGCTTGCAATTGCTATTAAAAAACAAAAGGGGAAAAAGGCAATTTTTGTTGTTAAAAGCAAAAGTATTGCTTTTGGCTCGGGTAATAATTGTGCTATTTAAACGTAAAAGCTTTAAAATCGGGTTTTCGTGCTTTTTTATAATAATTTCGTTTTGGGGTGGGGATATTAATTTTGCGCTTTTAATTTATAATTTAATGCTTGTTACGCATTAGTTTTAGCCTTTTTTGCTTTTCCTTTTATTAAAGCCTTTTACGTAACCATTACCGTAAAAACCTTAATAAGCCAAATGCTAATTCCTATTTCCAAACTTTCTTTTTATATTTTTATGCGGTTAACCCAACCTTCGATCCGTATTAAGGTCGTATTAGTGCTTACCAGCTTTTCCAATGCCCAATTTAGTTATTCCTTTGTTATAACATTTGCCGGATTGTTTAATCCTGCAATCCAGCGGATTTTATCGATTTCCTTATTTTTATAAAATTTTCGAAATGCTATTAAATTAATTATTAATTTTTTTTATTGTTGTATTTAATTAAACGAGGCATTAATAAAGCGAAAAGCTATTAGTGCACAAAATAAATTTAAATTGCACGAAATTTAACCTTTTAAAAATTATCGAACACCCTTTTTTTATTACGTAACCGGAATTAAACCCAAAAACCATACCGTAAATTTTGCTAGCTAGCACATTCCGTATAACTTTTTTGCATTTAACAAAAGTCCAATGCAAAATATTGCTACGCAATTAAAAACTCGTTTAATGCTTATTTAATTTTTTATTGCTTAAAATAAAAATAAACCCAATTTGCGAAAATATGTTATTGTTATTTGCAAAAAATCCATTTACAAAAATGTAAAGGTTTGCGTTTTCGAATTTAATAAAAACGTTGTTTAAGCTTTTATTAACGTTTTCGATTTGCTAACTAATCCTTTTGTTAAATTTGTTAATGTTTTTTTGTATTGGGTTTATTTTTTGTACGGCTAAAGCGTAATTAAAAGCTATTTTAAGCTAGCATATAAAGTTAACGTACGCTTTACAAGCTTTTTAAATTATAAATTATTGCTTATAGCTTTTTAAATTAGCGTTTACAAGCTCCAATTTTTCGCTTTGGTTTTTTTGCTTTAATTTAATTTGGCCCTTTTTAACAATAATTTTTTTACCGTTAAAATTGCTGTATTTCCTTTTCGTAAGTATTAAGCGTGGTTTTGCTTTAAATCCCGCTTTTTAAAGCGTTTTTTTTTCGAAATCCATAAATCCTTAATTTCCAAAATTTAGCGTATCGTTTATTTGCATCCTTATTATTTCGAAGCTTGTATTGCGCTTTGTAATAAAAAAATACGGATTGTAACATAACAATTCGCAATTTAACCGTTTTTTGTAATGCTTTTAATACGTAGCGTATTAATGCAATTTTAATTCCGCTAAGCCGTATAAAGGCTTAACAACTTAAAATAAAATGCTAAAAGGAAAACGTAAGCGTAATTTTTTAAGTAAGCGCAGCAAAACAATCCTTTTAAGCTCGGTTGCGCTTTAAATATATGCTTGGGTAATGTTCCGGGTTATTAATAAAATGCTTCGGTTTTAAAGGTTTGGTGCAAACGCAAAATTTAATTGCTGGTTGCAACGCATAATCGTAAAAGCTTGCGTTAAAATCGTTTCCTTTTCGTTATTATTAATGCTTTGGGCTACGCATTTTGTTTTTTCGTAAAAGGCTTTAAAAATTCCTTTCATTTTTTTAACAAATTGTGCTTTAAAAATTTTGGCATTTGGAAATTGGCCTTTACAAATTGCTATAATTATTTTAACGTTAAATAAAAACGTTATTTCGTTCCAATTGGTTTTTTAAAACTTTCGTTTTAAAGCTTTAATTAAATTTTTCGCTTTATACTTAATCAATAAACGCATAGCCTTTGCCTTTTTGGGTAACAAATACGTTTTATTGTGCAATTTAATTTCCAATCGTTCCTTTAATTTTAAGTGCTTATTGCTTTTTGCGTTTAGCGTTAATGGATTTGGTTAAGCTTGTAATTATGCTGGTATTTTGTTTTTTAGTAAGCGTTTGCGTTGTTTTAATTATTTCGGTTTAAAGTAAATAAATGGTTCCGGAATCCCGATTTATTGCTTTTTTAATTTATTATTTGGTTGTTTTTCGGTTCGATAATAAAATTGAACGGAAATGCTTTTAAACGTTATTAAAGCGTTAACAATTTCGATCGTAACGTTGTTGTTTGCTACCGTTGCTATTTTGTACGGGCCCGTCCATCCCTTTTTTTTCGAAACATTAAAACCTTTATTTTTAAAGCAAAAAAGTTTGGTTTAACGGTATTAATGTTCAGGCCATTTCGGGTATTAACCGCGTTTGCAACCTTTTTTTTAACAACGGCTTTTTAAAGCTTTGCTATAGCTTTTTTAATCGTTTGCGCGCGTTTGGTTATAATTAATAACGGTAACAATTCGTAATTTATCCGTAGCATAGCTTTAAAAACGAGCAGCGTTAAAACCAATCCGTTCGGTCCCGCGGTATTATTTATTGCCTTTACGGTTTTTTAAAGCAATAATTTTAACGCAACGTTAAAGCATTCGACCTTTATAATTAAATACGCTTTTTGTAACATAACGTATGCTTGTTTAATTTTTTTAACGGAATAATAAATTTCGATAAAAATTTGTTTGCAAATAATTCCGAAAAGCTTTGCTTTCGTTTAAAAACCGCTTTTCGAAAAATGGGTGCCCGCGTTATGGGTAATTACGTTTAAAAGCTTTAAATAAACGTTTATCCAATAACGTTTTAAAATTTTCCAAATTTCCTTTGCTAATAAATTTTTTAAAATCGTTATAGCATTAAATTTTATGCTTTCGTTAATTATATAAATAACCGGTTTGTTGCCCAAATAAAAAACATTAATAACGATTTCGTAATTAAAATCTTTATCGTTTTTTAACGTAAATTTAAATCGTTGTAATGCATTGCTTTTAATTTAGCATTTGTGGCATACTTTATTAATTATTTTTAGCGCGTTGCGATTTGTATTATGGTTTGCCCGTAAAAGGGTTTTATGCAATCGTTTAACGAAAGGGTGGCCAAATTTCTTGTGTACGCGCCGTAGCTTGGTTTTTATTAAAAACAAAAATCTTATAATTATTGGAACTTACCAAGTGGGCGCATGCACGGGATCCATGTAATCCCCATGCATAAATCCATAATTTGTGTACAAGGCCACCAAAGCTCCTTTGTCCTTTATGTAAGGAAATCGGATCCGTCCTTTTCTTTTAGCAAAATTCCTTCCTTTTTAAACCTAAATACAATACTTTAACTTAACTTACTTTTTAATAATTATTAAAGTTTAATTTTATGCCGTTTGGAAATCCGCAAGCAAAGGACTCCACCCCCAAATCCTCCTTACAATAATTTTTTTTTAGCGGCTATCGAAATTTCGTTTATAACGTACGTTAATGCATTAAAAAAAACCATGGGTAACCAAAGCGTTTAATAATTCGCACGCGCGTTCCGTTATATTTTATAAGCTTGTTGCGCGTATTGTTAAGGTATACCCTTAATGCGTCCAAATTTTTAAATAACAATAAAAATGGTATTAAGTTATTAAAAACGTAAAATGTAATATTGCTAACAAAGGTTGGTACAATAATTGCACCAATGCTAAACTCGGTATTTCTTGCTTTAAAAATTACAAAATGCTTGGGTACTTTATAATTAATTTCGAACTTTTTTTATGCTATTGCAATATTTAAACTTGGTTAATTCCGGTTATTAAATTAATTGCCGCGCCGGCGTTTAGCAAAATGCCGTGCCATTAAGTATTGCTTTTAATGTTATTGTAAATAAGCACTTTATAAATAAAAGCCTGGATTTTAGCTTTCCGTGCTTTTTAAACGTTTTTTGCAAACAAACGGTGCTTTTATAATTTGTTTATAAAGTATAATGCACTTTGGCTGGACCCGCAACCTTACCCTAACCAGATTTGTTAATAGGCTGGAAACCAGCTGTTAGGAGCACGGGCGAAACCGCCTGGCAGAAAGGAGGAAGGGGGCACTGGCACAGTTGGCCGGGCACGGACCCTTCCGGTAACGTGCCGGCGAGGTGTCGGTGTCGCGGCCAAAGCATAATGGCAAAGTTAAAAGATAAGGTAAAGCTTAAATTGCACGAAGGCGCATGGAGCGCGGAAGACTTATAGGACCGACCCCGCGTGCCCGAAGGGGCACGAGGGGGGGGGGGAAGGTTAGAGAAGGAACAATCTTTGTTGGCGATAGCACCTTTGGTAGGAGATTTACGGAGGCCTGACAAAGGAAACACCGCATCCGGCCCGTGACCCGGTAACCACCCGCCTCTGCACCGATTAACCCCTAACACCAGCCACATCGTTCCCTTCCTTAAGCTTAGCCGCGGAGCCACCAACCACCGAAGAAAAGTTATCCGCTACCTTACTATCTTTACCGTTACCGTCGCCGCTACCAACCTGCGAAAAATCGGCGGGAATAACCCTTTCGAGGTATTTATTATAGCAACCAAGGAATTCGGTAACGTTGTTGTGGAATTAAGCGTAAACATTCCAACGAAATCGAGCGTTCCGCGCGTAAGCTTCGACGCAATTTATTAACGTAAAATCGCTAAGCCCGCTACGTTTAGCCTAAAAATAATTGGAAACGATATTAAATACAAAAAACATTTTAATGGAAATATCGGCAATAATAATGTTGCGGCGAACTTTAATTCCGGGGTTTTTCGCAAAGTAACGGGAAGGTTTTACCGGGGCCAAAATATCGTTCGGGAAATACGCTTTGCAAACGGCTTTAAATTTAACGTAAACGCGGCGTTCGTATTAAAAAAATTAAACATTCCAATTTTGTTTAAAGTATTAGCAACGCACCGGAAACGTAAAGGATATAATAAAGCAGGAAAAAAATTTACAGCTTTTATTTTGCCCGTAAAGTTAAACGTTTAAACGTAATGCTTTTTGCGGTTTATAAAGCTATTGTCGGCATTAAAAGCAAAATTTACGAATTTAAGCTTTTCCGCGGCGTTAAGCATACGTTAGCCCAATTCCGAAACGCCCTTTTTTAACGCAAAAATGCATTATCCATTTTTGCTAACCTTTTTTTTCGAATAACAATATATATATTTTTTTAATTTAAAATTTAAACCGAAACAACCTATTAACAAAATATCCGGAAAAATAAAATTAAAAAAACGATAAAAAAATTTATTAAAATTTTGCATGCAAGCTTTGTTAAAGTTAATTTTGCGGGCCATTATGCGCATGCACGTAATGCAATTGGTTAAATCGTTAAAAATATTGGAATGGGTTAGCGGGAAATTGCAAAAATGTAAAAAAATTATATATAAATAACGGGTTTTGCGCTTTTTAAAATTGCCCGTTATTTCGAAAGGAAATAAAGCAAGCCTTTTCGTACCGTTTTTTTTGGGCGTTATGGTACAATCGCGAACCGCGGGAAGCCGGGGCGGAATATTAGCGAAATGCTAAGGATAAACGGTTTTACGATTAAACGTTAAATGGGCTGCAAAATAGCAAAAGCCAGGAAAAAAGGATTTATAACGGTTGTTATTGTTGTTATTTTTGCAATTGTTAATAATGTTTTTTGGTAAAATTGCGTAAAGGATTAAAAAAAAAAGCGGAAAAAGCCGCGATATATTAACCCATTTGCTAAAGTTAATAAAAAAGGAAAAAGCAACGGGAAAGCTTTAAATTAGCACGGAAACGTGCATTTAACAACGCGATTTAAATGCAACAAACAAACTGATTTCCAACCAAATTACAATATTTCGCTTCGAATAATAATAACTTTTTTTTTACCAAACGTTTAAAAGCGCGGAAAATACTTTATAAATAATTACTTACGAAAACAACGCGGAGTAAAAAATACTTTAAAGGGAAGGAATTTTTACCCGGCTTTACACCAAATAGCTGTTGGCTGGAAGCACGGTTTTTACCTTTAAATAGCTACCCCGATCCGTAATGCTCCCCATGGGTTATACAGCTCGAAAAGGGTAAATAAATTTATATATATATATATATAAAGTATAATGCTATATTTTATGTAAAATAAATTGTTATTATTGGTTTTTTTTAATTGCTTTCGTAATCGTGGTTATCGATTGGCTTTTCGTCGTTTTTTTCCAATGCGCGTTCGCTTTTTCATTCGTTTGGTTCCGTAATTAAAAAAAATTTCCGGTAACCCATTAAAAATTTGCTTTTATCTTTTTGCTTTTAGCGCTAGCGCTTTTTATGCTTTTTTTGCTTTTCCTTTAAATGGTTTATTAATTGGCAATCGGGCTTTTTGGAAATCCAATAACCTCGTTTAACATGCGGGTTATGCGTTCGTTTTTGCTTCCATTTTGGTTTCCATTAATTTCGTTAATTTTTGCCTTCGTACTTCCTGTTACGGTACGCGTCGGGGCATTTAGGGAGGAACTTAAAGCCGCACTTTTAACGCGCTAACGTTACGCTTACAAAACCGCAACAAAACGCCAAAAACGCTTTGCCCAAATAGCTTCCTTTTCGTGCAATAACAAAGCCTTTTTATAACAATAAAATGTGCGCCGTAGCAATTTATTGTACTTTAAATTTTCGAAACCCAATATTAACATGTTCCGTTTTTTCCTTTGCCAATAACCTTGTAAAACGGTAGCACATTTCTTTGCTTACAATTAATTAACGTCGATACCCGCCCCAAATCCTGCCGTATAATTTCGGGAAAATACTTTTACTTTTCCGATTTAGCTTTTTTAACCAAATAACCCGCTAGCGAATTACCGCTGCGGTTATATTATATTTATTATATTTAACGCTTTTAAAACGGGCTTTTTGGGCTTAACAATAACAATTTTACAAAACGCCATTTTTTTATTTCCAACCTTACATTTTATACGCAAAGCAATTTAAAATAATTTTAGCAATTACGCTGCTATATATTTCGCTTTGCATTTAAAACGCTTTAATAAAGCCTAAACCCAATTTAAATACATTTTTCGGGTTATAAAAACCCGTTTTCGAATTATTAACAAATTGTTAGCGATATACCGCCAAAACGTTAATATTGTTTACGTTATAATTTCAAACCAAAAAATAACAATTCGCAAATTTCGAATTTAAATCCGGCAATTATTTAACCAAACCATGCTTACATTAATTACAAATACGCTTTTTTTAGCGCAACCTTTTGGGGCCGCCGCGTTATCGCTAGCAATCCGCTTTTAAACAACCACTTTCGAAATTTTTAAAAGCATAAAAATAAACCAAATCCAACAATAAAAGCATTATACCAATTGGCGCTTTTTGCTTAAAATATAAATAGAATTATATTAAACCGCTTTTTTAACGTTATTAAAACGCATTTTTTTTATTTTAACATTTAATTAATAATGCTTTTGCTTTTATAAAAACGAAAATTAACCAAATTGTTACGGCTGGCAATAACGTTTTCCAATGGCTTATTAGCTAACGTAATTATTTAAACGTTATTAAAACGCTAAATTAAATTTACATTATTACCGATATATTAGCAAAAGCTAATTGGAATTTTAAATTATTTGCTTAAAGCAATTCCTTTTTCGGCAATTTTATCGGCAATTTTATTAAATTTAACAATATATGCAATTTGCTTAACAATTTACAAATATTAACTTTTAAACAAAAAGTTAACCGCCCGTTGCATAAAGCCATTACGTTAATTGTAAAACGCCCAAAACCCGATAATTTCGAAAAGTAAATAAGCTTGTTCCGGAACCTAACCAATAATATTGCTAACGATATTTTCCGGGGCAAGCAAAACGTTAACGCTTATTTTTTAGCACGCTATTCCAACGCTAACGATGCGCTGGAACCGGCCTAGCATTTAAACGCTATAAATTTTAATAAAATTACAACGGGGCCCCAACCCTTTTTTATTAACGCTCGAAAGGAATACAAACGCATTAACAATTTGTGCTTTTATTGCGGCGGGGCGGGGCATTAAGCAATTGCTTGCACAAAAAAAGCCAAAAAAATAAGCTTTGGGCACAATTGCTTTTAAAGCCATTAGCGTTTCGCCGATAATTTTCCAAAAAAAACAAAAATGTATTTACATTTAATAAAACCCAATTTTACTTTTTTATTTTATAACGAGCTTTTTACTGAAAAAATGTTATTAACCCGGTATTGCACCTTTTTAAATACCGGATATTTTTTATAAGCATTTGTTAATAACATTTTTGCGCATAACCATAATTTGCTACGCTTTGCTTTACCCAAACCCATTTTTTTAAAATTGGTTAATGGCAAAGTTACGGGCTATTTCCGCAAATGCGTTAAAATGCGCTACCGCATCGTTTGCTAAATAAAAACGCTTACCATATACATTTAACCATTAAAAACGGGAAGCTTTAACATTATATTAAGGTTTTTTTAAATACGTTATTATAACCCCCATATCGATTAAATAGCGGGCTTAATAATTATGCATAGCATTACGTTATTAAAATTAAACCCGAACGTTAGCAATTTATTACGCAACCGCCCAAAAAATAACAATAACAAATTTAACCCCGCGAATATACGCATGCTTAGCGCTTTTAACTTTATGCTATTTTACAAACAAAAAAGCGTGCAATTTAAACGAACAATTATAGCAAAGCTTTACGTTAAAATTCGCCCCAAGCTTTTAATACTTTTAGTAAACGCTAACCAATTTGCTAACGATACGCTAGTAAAAATCCTTCGCTTTATTTTAACTTTATCCAATAAAATCTTTCGGGATATGCTAAAACCACGTTTAACCGCATTTTAAAATTGGGTTAAAAAGGCATTACATTTTCGGCGCATTTTTAACAATAATATTTAAAAATACCTGGATAGTAAACCCCCCGTTACAATAAAAGAAATTTTATAGCGCTTTTTTTTTACAAATTTTGCGATTTAACGTTATGCTTTTTTTTTAAAACGTTAATAAATTACCACCGCACCGCCTTTCCAATTACAAAATCGAATTATTTCCAAATAAAACGCCCTTTTACCATTACAATAAGTTTATATCCCACAAAAAATTTTGAATGGTTAAAAAATATTTAAACAAACATTTAGCAAAAAGCTTTATACGCAATAGCATATCGCTAACGGTTGCCCCGGTTTTTTAACGAAAAAGC